CTTCCTTGTAACAATGTTTACATCAAAGTGCTTGTTATCCGCTTCTTTAATGGGGTGAACCATGATGGTCTCATTGAAATCCAGAACTAGGCTTATGATAACTCTCGTTGTTTTCTCAAAAACTGAGGTCTGCTTATCTACTGCTACGTGTTTATCCGAAGGCAAGTTTCTAGCTATGTTCATCAGCTCAATCGCCTAACGAATTTGCAAAGACTTTGTAGAACATCATGATTAGCACAACCACCGTGATAGTGACTTGCAGAACTTTTTATATGCGGCCCGTGTGAGTCCGGCGTACGGATTGTGATATCACTTATTGCAGTTGTCACTTTATATTTCATCATCGACCGAGAAGAAGCATGCAGGTCTGTAGTGGCATTGGTCCTAACCTCAATCCTCAAGGCGGAACATGAGATAACTGTGAAAATAGACTTTCATTATATAACACTAAGAAAAGCTAAGAAAGGTGAACGCGGAAGGATTCGATCCAGATCAATCGGATGGCATGGCTCGGACCTGTAGACGTGGTCACTATTGTGTAACTTATCTCTTCTATTCATAATAAATATATTGTTCTATCTTCAGCTTAAATGTTTTCTCCACGGCATATTGGTGATTCCTACTATAGGAAGAGTCAATGTAGACAATGATGTGACTTCCACGTAAGACCTAGATCCTTAAGATTATAGTTATATTATGACATGTCTACAATTTTAAGATTAAGTCTGTTCTTATAATAATACTAATGACGACGTAGACCATAATTCAGCAGGTCTACCCCAACGATATTTCACTTACGCCAAAAATTTATTTTGTGTTCTCACAGGAAGAACAACAACGTGAAAAGATCTCTACAATGAATGTCTTTTAAAAATTTACAGATGATAAACACTGAACGGAATAACACAGAGGTTTGTATATTACTGCACTCAACAACATTAAAAAATCCAACTTCCGTACATACAAAAGGATAATACCACTTTTGTATGCAAACAATGCTGGAAGCTATATGTACTCGGAAACTACAGATGACAACTTTTTTGAAAAAAAGCCATATATTTGGAGATAACTTTAACTGGAAAATATTCGATTGAAGCAGAAACATTAGTTTTGATGCGCAATTTAACGATCAATGCAGCAAAATATACTCAGGAAAAATGTCACTGTATTTTTATCTTTAGGTTTAGGGTTTTGTTTTTAGCGGTTCTATTATATACTCGCGCTTGTTACTCCTCGCGAAGGAGCATAGGCCGCTCACCAGCATTCTCCATCCAACACTATCCTGGGTAATCCTTTCCAGTTCCTATTCATCCTTTTCATATGTGCTTCGATTTCCCAACGTAATGTGTTCTTTGGACTTTCTCTTTTCCGCTTCCCTTCAGGATTCCAAGTTAGGACTTGCCTCGTGATACAGTTTGATTATTTGCGTAATGTATGTCCTATCCATTTCCGCCGTCTTCTAATTTCTTGTTCAGTTGGAACTGGTTTGTTCTCTCTCACAAAAGGCTGTTGCTGATGGTATCCGGCCAATGGATGTTGAGTATCTTGCGTAAACAACCATTTGTAAATACTTGTACCTTCTTGATGATGGTTATAGTAGTTCTTAAAGTTTCAGCTCCGTACAGTAGAACTGTCTTGACGTTGGTATTGAAGATTCTGACTTTGATATTGGTTGAAAGTTGTTTTGAGTCCCATATGTTCTTCAATTGTAGGAATGCGGCCCTTGCTTTGTCAATCCTCGCTTTACGTCTGCATCTGATCCTCCTTGTTCATCGATGATGCTTCCCAGGTATGTGGAGGATTCTACATCTTCCAGAGTTTCGCCATCAAGTGTGATTAGATTGCTGTTCGCCGTGTTGTGTTTGAGGACCTTGGTTTTCCCCTTGTGTATGTTGAGGCCTACTGATGCATCACGAGTTATCTTCATCTGCATTTGTTCGTGAGTATGCGATAGTAGGGCTAGGTCATCTGCGAAGTCCAAATCGTCTAATTGATTCTGAGCTGTTCATTGTACTCCGTGTTTTCCCTTCGGTGTTGAGGTCTTCATAATCCAGTCGACCACCAGAAGAAAGAGGAAGGGAGAGAGTAGACAGCCTTGTCTGACTCCGGTCCTTACTTATAATGCGTCTGTCAGCTGTCCTCCATGCACAACCTTGCACTGTAGTCCGTCGTATGGGTTCCGGATAATGGTGACAATCTTCTCAGGAACTCCATAGTGTCGAAGAAGTTTCCATAACGTTCTCCTATCTACACTGTCAAATGTCTTTTCAGAATCAATGATGTTGGTGTATAGTGACAAGTTCCACTCAACTGATTGTTCGACGGTGATCCGTAGTGTCGCAATTTGGTCTGTACACAACCGATCCTTACGGAATCTAGCCCGCTGATCTTGAAGTTGAGCGTCTACTGTGTCTTTCATCCGGTTCAGCAACACTCTGTTAAAGACCCTCCCTGGTACTGACAGTAGTGTGATTCCTCTGTAGTTTTCACACTTGTTCAGATCTCCTTTCTTTGGAATATTGATGAGGTGTCTGTCTTTCCAGTCCATCGGCACTTGCTCCTCCTCCCAAATCTTTTTGAATAGAAGGTAAAGCATGTTTGTAGTTACTTCGATATCTGACTTCGGTGCTTCAGCTGATATTTTGTCGGGTCCTGCTGTTTTTCCGCTCTTGATTTGTCTGACGGCCATTCTGATTTCTTCCGTCGTTGGTGGATTGCCATCTATATGAAGATCTGTGTGTGCTGCTTCGATGTCCGGTGGACTAATTGGAGCCGGCCTATTCAGGATTTCCTCGAAGTACTCTACCCATCTGTCCCGCTGTTGTTGAATTTCAGTGATTGGCCTACCTTTGTCCTTGACCGGTCTCTCTGGTTTACTGTATTTCCCTCGTAGTTTCTTCGTTGTATCGTAAAGCTGTTTCATATTTCCTTCTCTTGCAGCTTTTTCCGCTGTCGTTGCTAGTTCTTCTACGTATTTCTGCTTGTCGACTCTAATGCTCTTCTTCACTTGCTTGTTTGCTTCTATATACTCAGCCTGTGCTTGAAATTTCTCCGCTCGTGTTTGGCTGTTGTTAATTGCTGTTTTCTTGTTCTTCCTTTCTTTGATCCTGTCCAGTGTTTTTATAGAGATCCATTCCTTATGATGATGCTTCTTGAGGCCCAGAACCTTTTGACACGTTGAAGTTAATGCTTCTTTGATACCTTTCCACTTGTCCTCCATAGTAGTTTCTTCTTCCTTCAGTAGATCTTGTAAGGCTTGGAACCTGTTGTTGAGAGCTAACTTAAATTCGTTGAGTTTGTTAGTATCTCAAAGGAAGGCAGTATTAAACCTTTGTAGTGCTGTTTGTTCAGTTCTTCTTTAGCTTCAGTTTCAAGTTGGCCACAACTAGGTGGTGATCTGAAGCTATGTAAGCTCCTCTACTGGTTCTCACATCTTTCATTATCCTTCGGAATTTTTTATTGATGCAAATATGATCTATTTGGTTCTTTGTGGTGTGGCCCGGTGAGATCCATGTGGCTTTGTGTATGCGTTTGTGTGGAAATATTGTGCCGCCTATGACCAATGTGCTGAATGCACATAGATGTACAAATCTCTCACCATTTTCGTTTCTCTCTCCCAGTCCATGCCGCCTCACGATATCTTCATATCCGGTGTTGTTTATTCCAACTTTGGCGTTTAGATCTCCCATCAGAATGGTGAGGCCTTTTTTTGGGCACTTCGCTATGATTGATTGCAGCCCACCGTAGAACTGATCTTTATCGTCGTCATTGCTATCATTGGTGAGTGCATAACACTGGATAACATTCATTGTGATCCCCTCCTTCTTTGTTTTGAATGATGCTTTGATGATTCTAGATCCGTGAGATTCCCATCCTACAAGTGCATTTCGTGCTACTTTGGACAGCATTAGAGCAACTCCCTGAGTGTGCCGAGCATTTTCCTCTTCGTGACCGGAGTAAAGCAGCATCCCTTCCGTATTTAGCCTTTGTTGTCCAGCTTGGGTCAAATGGGTTTCGCTGATTCAAAGTGCTGCCAAGTTGTATCTCCTCATTTCTGTTGGTATTTGACTAGTCTTCCCGGACTCCCACATTGTCCAGACGTTCCATGTACCTATAAAAATTGTTGCTCTGGTCGTTTGGAGGGGCATCGGCCTCGTGAATTCCGAAGGAACTCGGCTTTCGCCATGAGGCGTCATAGTTTTTCTAAATGAAAACCTTCTAACTCCCTGGGTAGAGTTTGAATGGTTTGAATTATTTTTTCTGTTAAGAGAATTTTTAGGGAGTTAGTTTTCTACGGGATGGGGTCGCTAACCCCATGCCCAACCCCCCTCATTTACCTGGGCTTCGGACCGGCAATAACTCTAGAAGTGCTACAGGTGGAGTTATTTTTAGCGTAATCGGTCCCCAGAACAAATGGTCCTGGTAAACGGATTAGCTTTACTGGACAATCTCTTGCCGAATGCGCTTGGCAACGCATCCCCACCATATCAATAATATGTTCATCAATCCACAAAATTCGTTCAACAGTTAACCGGCAATGAATAAAGGACCTCAATATACCGATGGCCTAGCAAGTATATCTTCGAGCTTCTCCACTTCTCAGTTATAATTGGCTGGGTCGTCATACTTCCATTACAACGATGTTACGTGTAAAGCGGTTGTCAAAATCCGAATACTTGCGACATTTCTAATAGTTATCCTCCCACGCGTTTATTAAACGTACAATATTTATCACTGTTGAGTTGTTTTCTGTTTGTTTGGTGAGTAGGTTGTGCATAAAATTGGGCAATAATTAGTGTGGATTTCATCTTAGTCATCTTATGCTAACCCCTTATCTTCAATAAACACACAAATGTTGCTAACTACTAGTCAAATAAAAGATATACAAAGTGAAAGTTAAGGATTGAATTAAAATCTCTTAAAAATCATGTTTTAATATACAATATACCCCCACTAACTGAACAAAAAATACCAGATCTTGAGTGCATATTGTACATTGAGTGGAAAATGATTTCTTTTTAACCTTGATGTGCATTGAACAAAATTAAATAGGCAGGTGGATGACACTATTTCAGGAAGTGAGTATTAAAAACTGTAATAAATCACTTTAATATTTCAAAATAAACGATCTGGTGAACTCATAAAAACTTACTTGATATTCTTATCGCCATGTAGTATGAGAGGAGCATTTCTACTTACTCTTTATTTCAAGATGCAACAACACCAAATAAATTATCTAGTGCTCAATTAGATGACACCAACACACAAGGAAATAGTGATACTTAGGAAAAAGTTCAAAGGTTTCTAGTTTATTTTGGGATTTATGGCTGGTAGAAACTTGTTTCAAAACGGTTACACGGATGACGATGTGCCTTTGGAGGTGGAATTTACTTTACATTAATTTAACTATGCAACTGTGGGACGTAAGATACAATTCGTTCATCTTCATGATATCCTTCTCGAGCTGTGATCTCGAGATCGTAGTTTGCGAATACGCCCAGCTGGTTGTGGTCAGTAAATTAATAAAATCACTTCGTCAACCGCGATATCATATAGGTCAGTTTACATCATTGTGTTAGAGTTTATTGCCAGTGGTCATCGACTAGCTAACTAATAATGAAATCTAAAATAACCTGTTATTACACTTTCGTAATGCTACATGTTGTTCTTCATTCAAAGCCTTCCAGTCGAAGATTTTTTATTGGAGCTGCTACTAACTTCTAGTTCAAAATCTTCCTTTCAAAATTTATAATATGATAGTTTAGTCCTTGCATACATACACTCTGGTATCTATTAGGTCCCACTGCCAAAAATGTATTAACCATATCATTTGAGGTGTTCACCACGTTTCTCATCTGCTAATGGTTTTCGCAACCCGGTCTTCTGTGATCGTTTAGTTTCTAATGTAACCTTGTGCATTTGCTTGCTAGTGGTTTCCTCGTGCGTTGGTATAAAACGTGACAACTTAGTAAAACACTTCGAATTAACCTTTTCTTGGTGTTTCATGTTCGATTAATCTCAGTACAGTATTGTGTACATAATATTGTCTTAAATTTCTTTGTTTCTCACACCCAGCCTATAGACTAATTTAGCGAAATACAGTAGGGTATGCAACTCTGTGAGTTACAGTAAATTAATGAATTCGTCAAGGAAATAAAAGTATGTACACCCTTTAACAAAATCCTGTAGTTCCACTTTATTTCCGAAACGAGTGGCTTCATTGCATTATGCAATCAAAGGTCCTTAGATGGTTTCACTTAAGATGTATCTGGTTTGATAACTAAAGAACTCTCAAGTCACTAAATAGAGATTCACAATGTGAGTCTTTAAGTTACAGTATCTAAATTGAGTTTTATCACGCCCATGATCATCAATTCTGTATACTGTCCGATCAGTACGATGTAAATGCCGAAAACCCAGTTCTTTTTAAAGCATGTACAGTCTTATATAAATTGGGGTTTGATTTTTTTCTGAATGTTTCTGTTACCAAAACAAAGACAAATAAAATCTGTTATTGACAGCCTACTAGGTTAAATGGTCAAAAGTAAGTGACTAAGTAATACTTCCATATCAGTCAGCCAGTTACAAAGTAGAAACTGGTACGTATGTACATCGTTTCAAGATCCTACCCTTTATAAACGCAGAAATGAAAATATCAGGCGAAACCTCAATAGTAGAGGTAGTGATAGTATCAGTGGTGACGGAGAAAATTAGACATATGACATACGATTAAAAGGAAATTAGTGAAGTAAACAAGTTTTGGGGAATTTAGAAACTCATAATTTGGTAGGAGACAAAAAGTGGATGTTTATGTGCCATCGCAAATGATTTTGAGCCATTCCATTCAGTCTCCGACCACTGGCTACGTTAATCACACTGACCTCAACCAAATAGTCTACACCCACTAACATGGCCTAATTCAACTGCCAATGACTTCATAGACCAATTTTATTTATTTATTTGTTTGAACACGTAAATATTGGTACAAAGGGGCTCCGAATACATATGCATCACGCAAGCCACTTAATTTGTGTGTGGGCTATGATACTACCCGTGTGCCCACATCGAAGCAGATGATTTTCTTAGGGGGCCACACCCTAAGCCTTCGACCTAAAGGTATTATCCACAAGGCAGTGGGGCAACGTCAAGAGATGTAGTCCCATGGTAACCAGTGACCAAAGATGGGTTCATACACCATTTGTTCCTTCAGGATACTGGAGCCCATGTGCACCATTTGATTGGAATAGGTGTTTTCCAATCCCCCCCGGGTAAATCTCCCATATCCACCAACCCGGTTAAAGTACCGGACATTCACTATTCGTTCTCTCAATGTCGTAAAGAGCACTCCCGCCACGAGAAGGCAGTGAGTAGGACTTCCTTTTCATTGGCTATGTACTCGTGGCCATGTCAGAGTATTTCGAGAGGGAGAGCTAACTCTCCCCGTCGTCGGTCTTACCAGGGCATTTGGGGGCAAAAAATATGAGACGCTTCACGATTTTGCGTGTCATCCCTGCGCAGGGGCCATGCTAATCTCTGTGTCGTTTCAGTTTTAGTATACGTACCACCAAAGCGAGTACCAATGCCTCGTTTTGGTTGGACCTCCCAAAACTTTCTTCTAGCCTACTCCTACACCACACAACATCACTCGTCGAAGAATTCAGTGGTTTGGTATACATAAAAGATGTCTCAAATACAGCTATTGGAGATATGCCACCTCATCAGTTGATTTACCATTCTTAACTAGCATTTTTTCCTAAACCAGGGATTGCTTACTCAGTGGTCCCGAAATATACGAACGAAGCTTCGAAAATGTGATCGGATACTAGCATTTTGCGAATATCCTTTATTCCTAATGGCCATGTTTCATATTCATGAAGTAGAACAGAGCAAACTGCTGAACAGTAAATTCGTTCTTTAGTCGGCAAACAGATATCTCACCTACCCCACAAGTGACACGAGTTGGCAAATGCCAATCGAGTCCCCTAAATCTGTGCCGATATTTTGTCCATATCCTAATTTGAACATTCTTAAAAATATTTAAACCAGAACCAGAGAGGATAACATGCTAAAACACGTAGTAGCTGAGAAAAAGTAACAGTTCCCGATTATTATTATTTATTAACATCACGAATTTACCAGATAATTAAAACCTTTACTAAAAACCGTGTGCCTAATATTCGATACATAATAGTTACTAGAGTTCCTAATACCACATTCCCACGTTAACTAGTGTCCAAAAGATCTTTCCCTCTTTATCCCTTAGCTCATCTACACCAGTTTAGAATTAGGGTTTTCCACTTACCTTTATTTGATACTCACTATACACATGTTCAATTTTAGCTCTTGCGGATGTTGTCTCGCTGTGTGATGATACCCAAGCCATGCAACGCACATTTAATTATTTGAAACCAGTGTCCGTAGGTATGGTACGTACTTCGCACTTCAAAAGGTTGGGGGGACCCTGTTCCTGAACTCCCTCCTGTTACTGAGCAGTTGTAAGTGATTGGGTTCGTGTGTCTGGGTAACTGTGTAAGTGCTGGTGGTGATGTGAGTGATGAGATCACTTCACGTATAGCGGAAGCCAGAACGGCTTATGCCACTCTGGGCTATCTTTAGCGCCTTCGCGATGTTAGTCTGGTTGTGAAAGTTCTGATCTACAATGCGTCGGTGAGAGCAGTTTAACTCTATAATTGTGAAACATGGACTCTGAGTAGAGGACGTCAGACGACTCTCTGTGTCTGACCATCGTTGTCTCCGAAGGATGATTGACATTCAGTGACATGTTAATAACGTGGAGGTTCGGTGACATGCGTTCGGGAACAGTGACGACAATTCATGTTGATGTCACTACATTGAAACACCAACTTCAGTGGCTTGGATTCGTACCACGAATGTCGTTCCAGAGTATTCCACATCGCATGTTATTTGCTGATACTGGGACTAGTTGGAAAAGTGAAGAGGTGGACAGTGTATGACTATTGTGCAACACTGTGGCTTGAGTTTTTATCAAAAATGTCTGCGAATAAAAGCAAGTGTCGATCCTGTTGTGAAATTCTCTTACTTTCTCCGAACTTATGTAAACTCTTCAAATCCTGCTCAACTATTGCGTAACCCATCTTATCAATCTTTAGTTCCAGTACTTACTTGCTTACACCTGTTACTCCCAATGGAGCATAGGCCGTCGACCGGCATTCTCTAACCCACTCTGTCCTGGGCCATCTTTTCTAGTCCCATCCAATTCTTGTTCATTTTTCTCATGTCTATCTTCATTTCCTGGCGTAATGTGTTCTTTGGTCTTCCTCTCCTCCTTTGACCCTGGGGATTCTGAGTGGGGGCTTGCCTTGTGACGCAGTTTGGTGCTTTCCTCAATGTGTGTCCTATCCACTTCCGGCGCTTCTTCATGATTTCTTTCTCAACTAGAATCTGGTTTGTTCTCTCCCACAGCAGGTTGTTGCTGACAGTATCTGACCGACGAATCCGAAGTATTTTACGTATACGGCTGGTAATAAACACCTGTATCTTCTGGATGATGGTTTTCGTTGTTCTCCAGAATTCCGCTCCGTAGAGAAGAGCTGTCTTAATATTTTTATTGAAAATTCTAGCCTTGGTGTTGGTTGCCAATTGTTTTGAATTCCAGATGTTCTTCAATTGTAAATATGCTGCTCTTGCTTTTCTGATCCATGCCTTCACATCTGCATCAGACCCACCGTGTTCATCAATGATGCTTCCGAAATATGTAAAGGTTCTTACATCTTCCAAATCTTCTTCAATTGTGATTTGATTGGTGCATGCTGTGTTGTAACGGAGAACCTCGCTTTTCTTTTTGTGTATATTGAGACCTACTGCTGCTGAGACTGCTGTTACACTAGTCTTCTCTTGCATTTGTTGTTGCGTTTGCGATAGAGGATCCAGATCATCTGCGAAGTCCAGATCGTCCAGCTGCATCCTAGATGTCCACTGTATCCCGTGCTTCCCTTCAGATGTTGACGTCCTCGTGATCCAGTCGATCACCATGAGAAAGAGAAAGGGTGAGAGTAAGCAACCTTGCCTGACACCGGTCTTTACTTCGAACGAGTTTGTCTACTGTCGTCCATGCACAATTTTGCAGTGTAATCCATCATAGGAATTCCGTATGATATTGACTATCTTCTGAGGCACTCCGTAGTGTCGAAGAAGCTTCCATAGTGTTGTTCTGTCCACGCTATCAAATGCTTTCTCGTGGTCAATGAAGTTGATGTAGAGCGATGAATTCTATTCGATTGATTATTCCACAATGATCCGTAGAGTTGCGATTCGATCTATACTTGACAAATCTTACGGAATCTAGCCTGTTGGTCTCGAAGTTCCAGTAATTTTATATAAACCCTTCATAACCTCTAAAATTATCACACAATTTATATTATCTGTCTGCGTACCTCATTTGATTAATGCACCACCTACCTTCTATGCTGTAGTGTTCGTATCTGTTGACACTTAGTTTGGAAATGAGAAACTGGTTAATAATTTTTCGGATGTGCACTGATCATAAAGGTTGCGTGGTTGATAAAATATTACCGTTGATACGAAGAGTTTATTCGGCATATATCATTATGATACACCTATGTAGTAAGCTAAGTTTAAGCACATGGAACGGGGTTTATCTCAATTTCAGTAGCTTTTGTCCAATCAGTTACAAGAAGGCACTTGTCAAAACACTTTCATAGAACAGAAAGAATATATACTGCCGACACATTAGAAGAGGATGTTATGAATGTTAAAAAATGTTTAAAGAATAACGGATACACACTGAAATTTGTTGAGAAATATGGAAAACGTGAAGATAAAAAACCCAAAGAAACTGCAGCAAATAAGAAACCAATTTTTATCCAACTTAAATTCAAAGGTGATGATGTCACATGGTCAATCAATATGGAACTAAAAACTGCATTGACAAGAACTTTTTCTGCAGCTAAACTAATTTTCCTGTCCAAAACAACATTTCTTTAACACAGTCAAAGGTCGGTAGGTATCCCTTTCATGTTACCACCAACTGTGTGTACAAATCTACATGTATCTGCCAAAGCAGTTACATTGGTAAAACAGGAAGGAGAGCCTACGTCCGATTCAAAGAACATATTCCGGCAAGCTTAAAATCAAATGGATTAAGAGCATTCAACAATGCCATCGCAAGACATCTCCTTGATACAGGACATGAAGTCGATACACTGAAGTCCTTCAAGGTGATTAACGAACAATCAAAATTCAACCTTTAGAAGTTTGCCTAAGCGACAGAAATCAGACGTCTAAAACCAGATTTATGTATCCAAAAAGAGACAGTAGTGAATCTTTCTTTGCATTGGTAACATTAAACCTCTTTTTATTTATTACGTCATCCATTATTTCAACTCTTCCTGAAGTTTGAATTACTTCGTTGTCATTTTTCTTCAATTCATATATTTCTTTGTTACTATTAATCTATTTTCAGTTGCTTCATTGCACAATTATCTAATGTTTATTAACTTCGTGAGTCCTAATCTCTATTTCAATGTTCTGGAACTTTCCCTTTAAAAACTTTATTAATCCGAAACAAAAATTTTTATGGCCTTATTAACTCTATTGAAATCTTCGCTGCATCATGATACACATATTCATCTTTAGTCACCCTCGTATGTATAAGTATGTCAATATCAGTAGTAACGTTGATTTTCAAATATTTTAGGTTGTAAGCAGCTGATGAGAACCTAACGAAATAAAATGGATTCATATTATTCTGCACCAATCTTCGTCCTTACTCCCTTTAAAATAATAAAGGGAACTATGTGTTTGAAATCACTAAAGATAGTTGATGTGAATTGATTGTAGACAAGTATCCGATCATAAGTGTCTTCAACTACTATTGTTATGTAGTGATCATTCATGTTAGTGATGTTGATGTTGAATGTATAACTTTAACAAAAGTTTATCTTTGAGGTTATCGTGCACTAGCTAATATCTATTACATATTCCATATATCGATTCATCATCTGACTGCTTAGATCAGGAATATATCAAAGTCTAACTCACTATACTAACATACGATATCAGTCCATTAAGCTACCGGACAGTAATTTAAATGATATAAGCTCCAAAGAGTTAATAGTCGAGTGATAGTTGTAGGTATCATAGCTTAGAACAATTTGTCACAACGCAGACGCATTCATGAAAATATATTAGTTCGTCTCCTGTCTTTAGGTCTGTTCATTTTGTTGTTTTTATTTCGTTAGTCTTTTCCTTCTATGAAATTAGAAAGTGTGAAGTTGTAAACGGATGCATTATTATGTGGTGTTTACGTGTCTTGTTTTTAAACTTTAGTAACTCTCTGTTAGTGTTCATTATTTACCAAATTCGTACACTTATCTAATGAGTCATTATTGGTTAGGATTTACATCTAATCTGAAAGTGTAAAAATAGTTAATCAGTTATTACTTTTTAATCTAATGCCTTGTTTATTTTTTATAGTTAAAAGTTTAAAACAATTATTCCCTTTGATAAATTTCGATAATGCAATGAGAAGACAAAGTTGAGCAGAATTTTCAGCGTGTCTGTTATAGTTAGCGTATTTCATGTTCTTATTGAAAAACTACGAAGACTGATTAAAATCCAGAATATTGGTACAGAAACTCATACATCTCATTGTAATTGATTTCTAACAGTACCGGTTAAGAATAGGGACAATTATTTCCTATCAGTTTAAATAAGTATAATCGAGCAAATAGTAGCAAATTTATAATAAAATTCACATTTTGTTTCAGTGAGTCTAGCATGATATTCCATATATTCGTTGAGTGCCTTACCTAATTTCCTTTACGTTTTTTTTTGCCGTTTCATTCTTCGTCTGTGCATGTCTACACAATTCCACATTCTATCCACGTGATTGGGTTATAATCATTACCTCAGTCATTCAGACAATATTTCTCCAGTTATGCATCACATTTACGTGATTTATTCTACTACATTGATTACAACTCGATATCTTATAACGGTTTGCCTGCCTCTTTTCTAAACGACCTGTTAAATTTACAAATGACATGAACCAGATATATTTACATCTTAACCGATACGAAAGTCCACATTTTTAACATTGTTTAATTTATTAATTTATATTTACTTAATTTTGCCCACTGTAACACAAAGATTATAAATGTTTAAAGCATTAGAACCTGATGACAAACTTTCTGAAAACTGTTCGCTCAAAAAATTCTTTGTTTTTAAAGTGTATAGGGATCTTGAAATTGTTTATTTGTGATAAGTGCGTGGCTCTTCATCACCTATCAAAAGAGTCTTTTTTTAATCTTCATAACCTGTTTTAAAGCACAAGTTTTTTTTACGGAATCTTTTTTTTAAGATCTGGCGACCATATAATTTTTTCATCTGGGATGCATTAATATTTCGTTTATTTCCTTTCAGATCATAACAATTAAATGAGACTTGATATTGAATTTTCCGGTGGGGCTGAACTTTTGTTCAACAAGCAAAAAGAATATCAAGTTGACCTACCACCAACAGTGGTTCGACTAGGTGATTTGCTTGTTTGGTTGGAGAAAAATCTTTTACAAGAACGTCCTGAACTCTTCTTACAAGGGAAAAGCGTTCGACCTGGAATTCTCATTTTAATCAATGATGTAGATTACAGTTTATTGGGTGAGAATGACTATATTTTGAAGGAAATGGATAAAGTTATATTTATATCTTCATTGCACGGTGGTTGAGTTTATACACAAGGACATTCTTTACATGTTTGTAATATTTATTTGTTATTTGTAAAGATGGTCAGCATTATGATAAATTCCTTTGATGAAAATCATTTATCTTTTTTCCTTTCTGGTATTATCTTCCACAAGTCAGATATAGTATAGTTTTCTGGTAGACGTTCGACAGCAAGGCCAAGGTCCTCGTTATACACTGGCTCTCTGTCTTTTAGTTTGGTTCCATCCGCTAGATAAACCTTTGTAAAATGCAAAAAATAGTAGAGTTTTAGCGTAAAATCTTGTTGTGGGCATTTATTTGTTTATCTGTCTGTCAGCTTTAAGTGCTTGTATTAGGTAAAAGCCACAAATGATACTGCTGCGGTAGAAAAACGAATATTTCCGTAAGTGGTATAGCTACGGATATTATAATCATTTTGCTGAAACAGAATATCAATGTGCTAAGTGCCAGTTACAACTAGCTCGTTGGTCCAACATCAAACTACCTTTAGTTGATGCAATTCCTTAATCTAAGGGGTCTTTACCATACGTGTTTACGACCTATCATGCAAATTCGTCTTATCGCTGAATCATGTCTAATTTTGATCATAAAATTGCCTACGTACCATGAGATTACAGGAATTTCATGTGTGTCCGAATAACTGTATTTGGAGGACCGGACATTACTGATACACAAACCTGTTTTTATTCCCATATTGTTAGAGTGGGCATCCAAATAATCCTAATGGTCTTTGGACAGGGATGGGTGGTTGATATGTTATGGTTATTATGGCTTCATGGTACTACTTATAGAACAGTCTTAATACAGTTACGTGATATAGACTTGAGCAATAAATATTCTGCTTATCAGTTTTTAAGATGTTTAAGTCTTAAAATGTACGAGCTATATATTTTGCAAATCAATGTTTACTGGAAAAAAGCTTTTGGTGCGACTTATTATGTTTAACGACTTACTGAAAGAATATCACAGTGATCTTCAGCAGTTCGACCTCTAGATTCATCTATGTCTTCATTTATTTTCTTTACCTATGGTTAAGAAAACAAAAAGTTTCACAAAGAAAATCCGTTGATAAAATATTAGCCAATGGAGATGTATTGTAAAGAGAAATTGAGTGGGTCGAATATTATGATGTTAAGACGCCAATGTAACACAATCACATTCCAGATACAGCTAAGATAAATGCGAAAAGGTCAGTCAACATAAGAGATCGAGGAAATATCTCTACAGAGGCAGCACACCAAATTGTGGCTATATTGTCAGCCAGTTTGTCGTATGCAGTGTCGGCTCAGTTTTCAGCTGTTAATCTAATCAAACACATCATTCAGCGCATACGACATGACAGTCAATATTCCTTACCAAATTAGAGTCCTTTAAATGTACTAAATTGCCCTCTCAAAAAGGAAGTATTAATCAATTGAAAATCGGACAGTTTGTTGCAGGAATCCAACAACAGGACAGAAAGTATAAGGAAGTAACAATGTGTACCAAACTGGTCATAGAAGATTACGAAAACATTGATACTAGACTGTCTACATGGAATAGCACATAATTTTAATCAGCAAATATGAACATGTTAAACTGTTACGAGAGTTTCGTAATTTAAGTAACATTTACATCTACATTAAATTGATGTTACCCTATCTTGATGCTCAGTTTTGATTTACTATATTCAGTCAGTTAATATATTGCTGGGACTATTTTATCTTATTAAGAAATCACCCTTTTAGTCTGAGTTATCAATGTGTCGGGGTCAGAATTTTACACCTGTTACCCTACTTAATCTGTTGTAAAATATTAAGAGTAATACATAATTGCCAGAACCAAAATAAGGTTGCGTTATGATCGAAGAGTAAAAGAAAAATAATTAGATAAAACGAAATGCGTAAAAGGTAAATACCCACTTAGGGAGTATGAGAAAAATGAGGAATGAATTAAACATTCAGGTGGTAATCGAAAATGACTAAAAATTAGGAACATTAAAACAAAGTATCACTCATCAATTGACTTTGCGTGAGAAATCACATGTGATGACACCTTGAATGTGACGCTTTAGGACATAGCTCAGGTTCGAATTGTTGAACTGCTACCGCCTCTGCAGCAAAATCAGTGGTAAATACTGTTGTAATGTAGTTGGGTTTTCGATTTATTCCATCTAAGCTGAAGGAAATGTCTCAATATTCCTGCCTGTCAAACGTAAATCTGAGTGTGATTTTAACTGGGATAAATGATAATATGACTTGTATGGATACTTAGTAATCCTATGTTAATAATTATCACATGAGGTGCCCGGAATATTGTGGTTAATACTACTTGTCGACAGACATAAGTAGCATGTAATATCAACCGGACTTATTCATTATTTATTTGAACATAAATATTGGTACAAGAGGGCACCAAATATATGTGCGCCACACAAACAATGAGAATGGGAAGAGAGAACAAAAGAAGGTAATGAGCGTAAAAGAAAAAAGAACAATAACGACCAAATTAGTGTAAGGTAGTGTAATAATAATAATGGGGGAAAAGTAAAGGTACAACTAGAAGAAATATTTCAGTTGAAGAAGAAACAACCACTTTTTATGAAGAAAGTAAAAGAAGATTACAGCAGGATCGCCACTGGCTTCTATTCTAAGCCATATCTGATAACGTCGCTAGCTACTCTGTTGCACCATCTCTAGGACCCCAGCCGGGTAGCCGTGAAGGACCAACACAAGCCAGTTCTCTACAGTTTTCTTTCATACGACGACACCATGTCATACACTGACCACCTCTCCGCTTCTTCCAACCAGTCCCAGCGTCGGTAAATAATGCACGACATGGAATTCTCTGGGACGACATTCGTAGAACATGTCCAAGCCACCGAAGTCGGTGTTTCAAGATAGTGACGCCAATTGAATTATCATCTCTGTGCCCGAACACACGATGCCGAACCTCTTCATTGCCAACATGGTATTGCCACTGGATGTCAGCAATCCTTCGGAGGCAACGATGATCAAACACAGAGAGTCATCTAACATCCTCAACTCGGAGAGGCCAGGTCTCACAAGTATAGAGCAGAACTGCTCTCACCGACGCGTTGTAGATCCGACCTTATACAGCCAGACTGACATCACGAAGGCGCCAAAGATGGCCCAGATTGGCATAGGCCGCTCTGACTTTCGCACTTATGCAGATACACAAACGTCTCGACTACTTCTATCTGCTCATCATCCAGAGTGAGTACAGGGTTAGAATCCTGCAAGTTTTGTAAAAGTACTTTGCACTTTGAAGGTGCAAAGCACATACCATACCTACGGACACTGATTGCCAACTGATTAAGTACGGATTGCATGGCTTGGGCATTATCGCACAATATGACAATATCGTCCGCATACTCAAGGTTGAGAAGTCTTTCTCCAGGCAACAGATTCACACAGCCATTACTTACATCCATCAGAGTTGTTTCCAGAATGTCATCGATGGCAAAGTTGAAGAGGAATGGTGATATTGGGCAACCTTGTCAAACCCCACTGCTCGAATGGAACAATGGAGAAAGGTGGTTGTATGCCCTCACTCTGCCTGAGGTGTCTTTATATAGGGCTTTTAGGATGTTAATAAACTTCTCAGGCACACCCTTCTTCAATAGACAATCCCAGAGAACAGCCCTGTCCAACGAATCGAAGGCAGCCCTGATGTCAAGAAACACTACGATTGTTGGCCTTTGAAAAGTATGGCGGTGTTCTAACATTTGGCGGAGGGTGAAGATATGATCAACACATCCTCGACCAGAACGAAACCCAGCCTGCTCCTTGCGAGTCAATCTTTCTCGGGTTTTGAACAACCTACGAAGTATGACGGAAGCCAACAGCTTGGACGCAATCGGAAGTAGACTTATCCCCCGATAGTTTTTACCGAAACGACGTAAACCATTTTTAAGGATAGGGATAACTACCAACTCATGCTATGACGTTGGTACACTCTCTAGCTCCCAAACCTTTGTGAACAACACAGTCAGTTCCTTAACAAGAAAGACAATGCCATCTTTTAAAATAGCCGGAGGTAAGTCATCTGGGCCTGGTGATTTGTAGCGCTTCAAGAGTTGAAGTTCCTTGTGAACTTCCGCCTCATGTGGTGGATCAGTCGTCACCGACCATGGAGGACAGGACAGTCTGACCGATGTTGCCGGATCAGCAGGTCAGTTGAACTGCCCTTCGAAGAATTCTGCCCATCGTCCAAGACGTCGATGTATGTCGGTGATTGGCATCCCGTCATCGTTGCAGATTGATTTGCTCACACCAGACTTCTTGCTGCCAGTGGCTTGGATGAGTTGAAAGAACTTCCGGTAGTTACCAAATGCAGCTGCTGCTTCCAGGTCATTATCACGCTCCGACCACCAGGTTTCTCGGTCCTTAAGCAAGCTTTGCCCAATTTCGTTTCGTAACAGTCATTGTTTGTGGTCAAACTCACCGTTACCCGGAGTAGACTGACGGGCTTCAATGAGTTGTAAGGAACCAGAAGAAACCCAGTGCTTATAAGCTTATAGCGAAGCCGCAAGCGACTTTACTCGCCATTTTGATGACGTCATGAAGCTGCAACCAATGCTCATCTATACTTTTCGGTAGAATGGTAGCTAGCCTAGAAGCTAGCTCGGTTTGATACTTAGTTGCAACAGAAGTTGCAACCAATTTACTGATATCCATCCCTTTAGGACGAGGAATTTTTTGACCACTGAAAAATAAGGTAAGATTAGCGCAGAAAAGGGAATGATCAGAGTCCAGATAGGTTCTCCTAAAGGAGCGGCAGTCTTGTACACAACCACGCCAGTGGTAGCTGATCGCGATATGATCAATCTGATTCCAGGTTTGAGATGCAGAGGGAGGACGCCAGGTGGTACATAGGCGATGACTGTGTCGGAAGTTAGTTCTGTCCAGAAACAGGTTGTGGTCTGTGCACAGTTAGAGTAGATGGTCCTCGTTATCTGTCCTGCGACCAACAAATCCCCATCGGCCACCTAGACGACTCTCTTCTGTGCCTAGACGCCCGACCTGAGCATTCAAGTCTCCGGCTAGTACTACAATTTCTGTCGAACTCACTTTCTGGAGAAGTACAGTTAACTGGTGGTGGAATTTATCCTGAATTTCATCCAGACTGCAATTTGTCGGGGTATAGGCGGAGATGACAAAATGACATCATTTCTCACACCCATTTCTTCTCATTTTGATGGAACTTTCTAATCTAACAGCACATAACCGACTGTTAATGGGGATCCAGTCGACTAGTGCTGCCTCAGCTCTAGCGCTTAGTGCGACACCAACGCCAGCAAGACCAGACGAAGATGCCACAGGGTTCCCGGATAAGCGCACGTAAAACAAGCTTTTCGAAGCAACAGATGGAGAGCGAATTTGTAGTACTTCACCAGAGTCTTGAATACGGGTCTCGGATAGACAACAAACGTCGATATTAAGACTTTCCAAAGACAAAGCCAACCCTATCTGTTGTCTGATCTGAATAAGTGTACGAACGTTGAAGGCAGTCAGTTTGAATGGTGCACGTGATTCCAGGAAAACTGCTTCAGTATTCATATTTGGTGGTAGCATTAAATTTCCAACCAAATAGTGACTCGAGAACGTTTAGATAGAACCGAGTTCCCACCATAGGCAAGCTGCTGTGTAAGTGGAAAAATAAGGATACATAAAGGGGGAATAAGAGATAGTGAATACACGACGTAGTAAATAATAATAATAATAATAATAATAATAATAATAATAATAATAATAATAATAATGATAGTATTAATAATAATAATAATTTGAACTGTTTGACTGTAAATCGAAGTGTGAACAGAATTTTCGGTAAATATTGTCATTTTCATTTTATTCGTGTGTGGGCTGTGATATTGTCCAAGTGTCCAGACCGAAGCAGCTGGTTTTCTTAGGGGGCCACACCTCGAGCCTTTGACCTAAAGGTCTGATCCACAAGGCAGTGGAGCGTCGTGAGGAAATGGAGTCCCATGGTAACCGGTGACCAGCGATTGGTTCATACGCCAATTTTTCCTTCAGGATACAGGAGCCCATGTACACCATTTGATTGGAATAGGTGTTTTCCAATCCCTTCTGAGCAAACCTCTCATATTCACCAACCCGGTTAAAGTACCGGACATTCACTATTCGTCCTCTCAATGTCGTAAAGAGCACTTCCTTCACGAGAAGGCAGTGAGTAGGACTTTCCTGGCAGTGGTTGTATATGCGTGGTTATGTGAGGGAACTTTGAGAGGGAGAGCTAACTCTCCCCACTCTCGGGGTCTGAATCGACAACTTCATCTCTGTGCTAATGTGGTGTGGCAACTCGGACTGATGTACGTACTCACGAAGTTCTACGTTGTAACTGACTGACTGACTCTCGGCCATAACAGGGCATTTGGGGGCATATCAATCGGAAGTGGAATACCTGGCAGCAGAAGGCTAAGAAGATTGAGTTGAAGGTAATAGAAAGGAATTGTAAACTGGAAGGATCATACAGAATGTGAAAGACAAACGACAGAAATTTGCAGATGAAATATTCAACTTACGGTCCTCACATTTTACAAAGATATTCTGTAACTTCGTACGAAACAATACATTGGTTGTTCTTTCCTGGGTGTTCGTTCATTACAATATGTTCCTTACGTTCATCTAAATAATATCAAGGCAAACTTAGCCACTTGATTCTTGTTATCACGAACGGCAACATTTGACAGCATAAAAGTCCATTAAGTTTCGCTGGAAAGCATAAGACACTATGTTTTTGGGGATACATTTAACGAGGAATGCCGACTGTGACCTCTGAATAATAAAATTAAGTCATATTTGCTCCCTCACGTATTTCAAATTCATTCCAATGAAGTGTAAGAAATGTAACCCAGAATGTGGTTATTCAACTTTATATATAATCGTTTCATTTGAAACTTTAATCAGATATTCTCTTTCAAAACAAATAGACACACATCCAATTTATATACCATCACATTTTTGATGTAAATACTTAAATGTATTTAAGTCAACTACCTTTACATTTTCGGTCGTCTGAAGTTGACTAACAAATTTTTCTGTTGAAATAGACTATCCCTTAGCTGTTCAAAATAAACGTACGGGATAACAAGATTTGAGTAACAAGGACGAAACGTTTTTCTAAATTTGAAAAACTTACATTATTTTTTGAGAGTATGCTCTTTATAATATATCTATAAGATACATTTCTTATTGGTCGTAAGATCGAGAAACAGAGGGTAAATCAAACATATTTCACACCTTTAAAGATGTCACTTTCCCTTTCAATATATATATATATATATATATATATATATATATTCATCCCATATTTACATACATTTTGTATTGTTTCATCTTTTGTTTGACCAGTAGTAATTCCAAGAACAGGGTTTTTCCAATAAATGCTATGTAAACTACCAAGTTGCTTCGCTACTTTATTGAGACGCTCGCGTGGATCTATTCGAAACCCGAGAAGATACGATCCTGCCTGAAAGCAAAACAAAATGCAGATATAGATTGTCTTTGCTAAGTAACCATTTTGACTAGTTCATTGCTGTACCTTGAACCTAAGACTTAGTATTATTTTTCGGATTCCAATAATTTGTACAGGACTGAAAACTCTGCCTTTAAGAATAGACAGGTTTCTTAACGTAAACTGATGCATGATTTTACAAGGAACGTACGCTACCAAGACTGTATATTTTACATTAAAAAATTACAACCGAAAGGTATTTTAGGTTGTAATCAATGCTAAAATGTTTTCCTGATGTGAACTACACACAAGTTAATTCATAAGTCAAATAAGACCATACATATTTTAAAATGGGAAAGAATGAGACATTTACAGAAAAGACGTAACCAAAACTGTGTACGTTATGTTTCCTTAATACAATGTTTTAATAGAGATAATGAGACTCAGTATAATGATGTGTACGTTTGGTTGTAAACATGTTAATAGATTAACTGATAAGTGACTCCTAAATTCTTATGGATATTGAATCAAAATAATGTCTATGAAGTTTGGAAACTCCCATATAATATTTAAAAACGAGGAGTATTACAGCGAATTGTCGTTTTTAATAACTTCTTTGTCAGACTTCTCAAGTCCAAAACCATTATTTTTGTGTTACAATATAAGGAAAATTACATTTAAACTAATCCATGTTGTACGTTTAAAATGACAAATTTCGGGTTGACTGATTCTTAAACAGAACAACTTACTAACAAAATAAAACAACGTCATTGGTATTGTTGAGAAGAGGTTATACATAAAGGCAAGAAGGAATAAGTTTTGATCAAGTCAATGGATTCTAGTCAATATGATACAATCGTATGCAAAACAAATTAGCGAACTATAGGAATTATTATGTCAAATTTGTTGTGACTATAATAATGATGATGACAGTAATAATACTAAGGTTTAAGAAAAATTAATAATCGGAGTATCGCGTAAAAAGGTGAGTGTATGACTGGGGATAAGACAAACCTCATAGAAGGGAGGGAGAACAATGGTGAAGATGGGAGACACAAATGGAATTAAGAATCAAACGACCTTTCTTCAACAATATTAATGATGTTGTTTTATTATGTTAGTAAGTTGTACTGTTTAAGAATCAGTCAACCCGAAATTTGTCATTTTAAACGTACAACATGGATTAGTTTAAATGTAATTTTCCTTATATTGTAACACAAAAATAATGGTTTTGGACTTGACAAGTTTAACAAAGAAGTTATTGAAAACAATTATGTGCTATAATACTTTTCTTTTTAATGTTTACATGTCTTCAGATAAGCATTTGTTTCTCAAAGCGAATCTTTATCGATCGAAGTGATTAAGATGTATTACGTATACTTATTCACCGAATACCTCGATGTGCGATAATGGCTGGTGAAGAAGTAGGTTGGAGGGAGTAAGGAGTGACAGAACCGAGACACAGTGTTGGCTCATGAAAGCAGTGAGTTTTGGGCTAAAACATGTAGACAGGTGTATACTAGCTGATCGGGTTCTGCGTGATGGTTGTAGCCAATGATTAATGACTTTCAATTACATGAGTCAAAATAGCTTTGACTGTCGCAGGTGCACTAACTCTTTTTCTTCCCTCAGATTCTAAGCTTCTGAATACCTCATAACTTTTTTATTTCGTAAACTGATATTTCTATAAACCGCACTTTCAATGACTGATTATTTCAAACCCCGCTAACTTTATTTTCAACGCTGCTACACCAAGATTTATCCTGACAGTTTTATTGTGCAATACTAATGGGATGTGGCAAATTTATCCTATGTACGCATGTGTCAGGTTTTACGTCATCTTGATTGGATGACTGTATTTCTATCATTAATTTTAATTACCTAGTAGCTAAACGCTACGGTTAGTCGTCGTTTGATTACAATTAGTAAGACTTATTAAACAATAACGTTCTTCCACAATCAACTCTACGGTTTTTTGTTACAGCCGTGGTAAGCGGATATGGGAGTTAATATAATTTATATAAACTCCAATCTAAGAGAGAAAATCAGTTCTATGGTAAAAGCATATTCTTTCGAATTTTCATAAAGGACCACCTATATACTATATTAAAACATACTGAATTTACCTACCTGCCGTGTAGTTTGAATTACGAGTGCCTCTCCAAACTTAGATTTTCTGGTTGCAATCATTTGCTGAAGTAAGAATTTTAGTATTTTTCGACATAATTACTATCTGCAGGAAAGGAATGCTAATATTGAAGTTCACGTTAATTATAGATGTCCAAACAAGTCGAAAATTTGTTACAAACAACTTCCCTAGATTTCCCTTGATAACTTATCTACTTCTGAAATTTAGCTACTTGATCAGATGAAAGATTCCATACTCCATCTATTTCATCAAATAAACTTTCTAATGGCAATAACACAAGAAGGTTTCCTTTCACTAGTGCTCCACGAACCCGTAACTCTCGATAAATCCTCGTAGAATCATATGCCCTTTAGAATTTGGAAGGCTTTGAAGACGAAACTAACTTGTAAACTGTTGTAATGTACTCCATCATTTTGGAATCACCAACTCCGCATTCAACAAAAATGAATTCGTACCTTGTCCCAGAAAACGTAGTAAGGACATCAACCGCCAGGCTTTTTTCAGCTGCTTTCTAGCTATAAAGTGGATTTACTCATGTACTTACTGAATTGACATTCTTAAAACAAATATTTATGATGCAGCCATAGCCAATAGCTTAAGTAGTGTAAGTAATAGCATATAATTAATCCTACACAAACTGTTCCGCATTACACACTTAGATATCCAGAGCAACCTTAAGTTGGTAATGTATAAATCCCCTGAATAACAAATTTTACAGCCTTGTGATATTTTATACAAACAAATACCTTTGTCTCCATTATTTCCTTTCACATCTTCGACATTTTCCAAAAGTTTAAAGTTTACCTCTCCATTTCTAAAAACTAAATCGCAACGCGGAGCATCGAAGCGAACTTCCCTATCCTGCCACAACACGTCATTGGAATATGACAACATATTTGGTTGGGCGCTGACGCTTATTTGGCAGCTTCGTTGTGACACCATAGAAACACGATTGGCATGCCTTAAAAGAAAATTTCAATTGTCGAAATTTGTAAAGGAATGAGACAGAGATTGTGTCATTGGACTGAAAAAATATTATCCAAAGGCATTTTCAAAATTCTGAGGGTCGGATTACCCGGGAACCCTATGAACGAGAAAACGATATATAATTCATGATGTCACTAGAAACATATGGCTAATATATGGGAACAGAACAGAGCGGCTTTAAACAATAAAGTGCGTTTTGGAATCTCCAAGCTCCAGTGAGCATGTTGAATTAGATGGATATCTGATTATGGAGAAAGTTTCAAACGACCCTAGAATCCATCGCGTTGCAAATACTAGGTAGTCTGATCCATATATTGAAGGTCTCGTTTCTTAGCTAGCTTCGTTCTGTATAATAGTCATACTGAATTGGATACTCGCCCAAATTACAGTTGAATTTTAGACTAGGAAATTACGTTGTTCCAGAAACGCTCTAAATATTCAACCGTTATTTAATTGTGAGTTGTATTGTATTGAAATGCATTATTTTTGGCTTACGATAACAGAACAATAATGTATGGATATGTCGCGTTTTCGTAATAATAACTCGGGAGACCGAAGACTACTCTGTTATGCGTTGACTTGTAGTCTTCTGAGAACCGATATTTACTTAATTTTAGGGTATTTTAGCTCGTTGTTAAGATAGTCGCTAAGATATATATGCATTTCGATGGGTCATCCATTTTTCCTGGGTTATTATTGTTGGAGATTTCATAGTAACTAAGATCTATTTTACTGAGAAACGGGTTGGATATTCTCCCATTCACTAAACAGCAGATGCATCGTACATTTTAAAATCAGTTTAGCAATCAAACTAGGCATTTTATGCGAGAACGTTGTAAATCCGACGAAATATTTCTGAGCCTAATAGACCATCATGCTGTAACGTTTCTACTTCGGACTGAAGATTCTTAGGGGTTGAGCAGTTTAGTGATCTTCGTTAAGGTCACGGATAGACAACTTAGGTCGGGTATTTGGACTCCATAATTCATACCTTTCAAATTTTTTAACTCAAAAAATCACATCGGTGAGACTTTATTTGTTTCATGGAGTCATCACAGTCGTCTCAGAATTTTGATATCACGTTAGACAGTGACTGTAAAGTATTATTTCGATACGAGCTAGGAGGTCACATTACTACCGAACAGATCTACTATCCACATGGACGGTATAAAATATCGGATGCTTTTTCATTATGTCAGTACGTAAATGATATTAGTGATAGGCACTCTATGGTGCTACAAGAAATGCGATCAGTAGTCTTGTAGACTCGCAAGGATAACATACGGTTTTGTAAGGTTTGCGAGTTGGTGGGGTGCCAGAATTCCAAATATTTTGGTTGTAGCGATGATATGCGACGAAAAACACATGAAAACTGATTCATATCGAGCAAAAGCACACATGTATAATACACAGTAGTTACAAACTAATAATGATTATGTACCCAGTTAGTCGAAAAATAAAGCCACAATTATGATAGAGAGTAGAGAATTGCACAATTTAAAATGTAACCCAAGATAATCATTTTTGATTGACCAGGGAACATTAAGAAGCACAAATTATATAAGTGTGTACCAGGCATATCAGATATGTTGATGTGCCATCTAGTCAAGAGAGAAACAGATGTCCAAATGAGATGGTTGTATGTAGCGGACGATAATTAATCTAACATCTATTAATGAACAGGAAACTGCCGGGTCGAATTCAGCAGCACTGTTGAAAGCATAACTTGTGGATGACTTTTGAAAGAACACCGGTGATCTTGATAAATTTCAGTCAATCAGAAAACCGTCGGTATAGAGCCTTAATATGTATTATGCGAAACGAAAAAATAGTGTATTTTTTTGACATGATTTAAAAACATTCTTTCGCCTCAATCACATTGCTTCTATATTATTTATGTATACTCCGGTGGTGGTGTCCACAAAATGCCGCTTGTGGACGACGACACGGTGCACGTAGCCCAGTCTATATAAGCATAGATATATTGTCAAGTCATCTGTCTATATTGTGGTTCCCAGCGGCACATACTCTCGTATAGTTGGTAATATAGTTGTAGTTTGTTGGTACCTAACGCGCTGGAAGTTTCCTTTTTGAGATGGTCTATCATATATACCGAGGACCCGCTGGGTATATTTATGATAGTGCTACTTACGCAGTCTGCTTTAACACTTCTGTGGTTGGATTTTTGTTTTTTAGCAACCATTTTGTCTATTTCTACGGTCCTTCAGTTTCCTCAAAACAATTCACGTAAACTTGTCATTTCATTGCGCATATATCTTGACAGTACTATACTATTCAACTGCAGAGGCTTCAGTTACACCTAAAAAGGTTGTAGCCTGTGTTAATGGCGCTTTTATCATCCGGTTTATCATCCAGCTATCATAATCTGGGTTAGTCTCGATCGGTGCAGAGCAGAAACGGTCTCGTTCTAGCAGACTTTAACTTCCAACCTATGTAACAGAAATACATCACAACATTCTACACAACGTCCGTCAGTCATTTTATCACTTCAACCACGAATAAAGGAAGTTTTCAAAAATTGATTCGTCATAGCCACTTGACAATAATGTCTTCTTTAAATTCCACCGTAATCTGACCATACGTGAGCACTGGGAACTGAAGAGGGCACCATGACCTTGGAAACTGTTATATCTAGTAGGTTGTTCTTGATATGCCGCGTATAACCCAAGCACTAGAACGCCAGAATTCTTCCAAGTCTCAATGAGAAGACAGAAGAATAGTGAAAGGAATATTATTCCCAGACAGTGTCAATTATTGTACAAAATTGCCAAGTATTTATAGTTTTTAGCAAAAACAAAATCATCATTACAGTCCACTAATCAGCATACAAAGGGTTATTAGCGTTGTCCAATCAGGAAGCTACACGTAGGTATTCTAGAACACTCTTCCAAAAGGTGATTGGACGGAATATCTTCGGCTCCTTCTGAGTCTCCTACAGCTTCCTCGAGTTCACCCGTGATCCGTCGTCATAGAAGTATTCACTTACTTGTGATTCGCTGGTTCATAAACTGTCGTCTCACCGTTTACTTATATGTAAAATCCTTCTTGGCCCATATACACTTGTAAAATTGTGGTCTGGTTAGTTCATAGTGCTTATCCAATAACAAACCTAATCCTGAAGTTGTAGATTTGGGATGATATGAATACCTAATCCATAAGATCTTGCGTGAAAATCACACCGTGGTCTATTCTAACTCGTCATATTGTAAAAGTTCGAGACATAACGTCGGGTGTTTGTAAAGAACAAATTTAGGCTAAAGATAGGGTAATAAATTTAATGTGAGTAAAAACAAATTATACAGAACGACTACAACTGCGAGGCTGAGCCATTTTATCTGATTTATTGCATCAGTATTCACTATCGCTGGCCGCGCCGTGGTAAATGTTGAATGTCTATTTCGCAATTTATCTCATGTTCAACCTTGAGGTTTGTGTCGTTAGGATTGATACCACTACATACTTGCTAAAACTCAATTTCGATCATTTCATAATTGTGGTTTTTATAATGTTTATATGGTCAACCAGATAATCCACTAATAACGTCATTTCGAATTCATAAATTAAGTTTGTCTTGTCGTAGGATAGACTCTTGATAAGATATTTAGTCCAGTCAGAATTTGTCAACAAAAGGGTAATAGCAGATGGTCAGTTGTCTCGGTCTTTTGTCTGACTATTGAATAGCAGTTTCGGATTTTTCAAGCGTTTTCTGTGTAAAGTTGAAACTTCAACTAATGGTAGTATGTAGCTCCACGTACACTCATGATGCAAGTGATTCGTCGAGCGTAAAAACGAACTAGGGACGCTACTACCGTTAATTTTTTTGACAACTATATGTTTATCAACATGCTACTCACAGAATTCTGAAGCTAGAATTTTGCTATGTACAAAGATGTAGCATTGTGAAATGGGAAGCATCTAGAAGGCAATAATGAATAGCTACTCTGTATTTGGAGAAGTGAAGAGAAAAACGGGGTTTCAAACAAAGATAGTGGTGCCTTAGTCTTACTTTCTTCTTAACTGGTATTGAGACGACAAGAAGCCATCCTAAGGAAATTATTTAATTTTTACTGACTCGTGAAAAAGATGTTGCGTGGAAAGTGAACTTAATATTCCGTCAGATATGAAGATTGGCCTTGAAATCAAAATTTTATAACCGCAGGTGAAGGATCGGCTCAATCAAATCGATTACGCTCAATTTTTAGTCAAAGCAGAAGGTCAGATGCTTGATAATTATACTAATGAAAGGATGATAAATAGAAACTTCATTGATAAATACTAGCAGCGTTGAGTTATTTCTAAATTGTTATCGATCCTCTGTATATTAGCATCTCGCCTAGTCCAGGCCGTCCAATACAGAACACAAATATGTGCCTTCAAAATATGATTCGTGTGTCTCAGGCATACTCGGTTTATATATAAGGAGACAAGATTGCATAACACCGTAAAACGAAAAATACTGATTATTCAAGATCCAGCCAACAGGGAGTATGAGATACTGTAGCTAATATATTTGGAATAATTTAGGAATTGTTAATTGTATGATAGTAACCAATAGGTCAAGTACAAAGTTATGATCAAAAGGGAATATGAATACACGTGTAATTTAGTCACTTATTTATCATGCTATAATAATACCTGTAAGAATGACCCATAACTAATTCTTGGATGGTTCCATTCACTTATTTTTCGTTTGGTTGTGCATTACTTATCTTACTCATCACATGTCTGTGAATTATTTCCGTCTGAATATATTGGCTCACGTTCGGTTCAATCGAGTTGGCTCTCATGCTCTCTCCACTACTCCTCCCTCTCGCTTCGGCGTGTGCTTGTTTCTGCGCGCTCGCGAATTTTTACTAGTCATTAGCAATATAATATATCTCTACAACTGTTGAAGTGGCTATTGAATAATCTCTAGTAAACTCATAATACTAGTAGATTTGGCCAGAGTAAATACTCATTTAACGGGATATTATTTATTGGAATGAGATAAAGAGGGCATTAGCCCCTAAAGTTTTGGTCGGAGTAGACTTTAATTTTCTCAAGTTACAGAATGTCTTATTTAGGCCCATCAGGATTTGGTACAAGGACCTATTATTTTTTTGTTTATATGAATGACCTTGCTCAGCAAGTATCGTTTGGTTTATTATTATTCGCCGACTACGTGAAACTTTGGAGATAATTTTGAACTGTATTAATAAGCTGGTATTTCAGAAGGACCTGATTCTACTTCAAAGTAAGGTGGATAAAAACCGACCAAATTAAAACACTTCAAAGTGTAAAGTATTCCCTATGACACGCGTCGCAGACTACGCACACAACTTGGCAGTAAAAAGCTCTGTCTAATCCTTAAAGCTTTATTAAGCCGTATTTATAGTACGACAATAAATTTTATCATTCTTTGTTCCTAAAAGATAACAATACACTGGGACGTATCACAAGGAGAACCATTCCGGGTATTCGAAGCCAAACTTTAAGAAGAGCGCCTCAAATCAGAGAATGTTTACACATTAGAGTCTAGGTGTTTAAGGATTGAACTTTTAACGACCTATAGCGTTTTAAATATTCATAGGCACTCCCCTAAACATCTGTTTAAGCTCACTTCTGACGCAAACCTAAGGAATATCATCCAGAAATTAGAGACGCAATATAAAAGAACGGAATGTATTGTGCTTTCTACACTCTGTGAGCAGTTGTACTCTGGAATTCGTTACCCTCTGATGAAGTCCAGATGAATCTTTAGGTGTCTTTCAGGGGAAAACCTGGAGACTCATGCCAGTATTTCACTGCCATTTAGTAATATTTCTCTTTGAATTGGTAAATATACCTAGGTTCCTACCTGAAGGTATCGATGATGATCTAATACTAAGTAAACAAGTTCAGTTTCAGTTTGGGAAGGACAGGAGGCTTGATGGCCTGTGTTAGTCCTGGCATTGATGCTCTCTCAGTTGATCCAACTTTCTTTTAAAAGACTTGACGGATGGAGCCTCAATCACGTGCTGAAGTAATGAGTTCCACTCGTTGATGATTCGATGGAGAAGTCGATAGTCAATTGACAAGTAATTTGTCCTGGGCTTGTGAACTTTTTCGGAGTGTCTTCCTAAATTATCTGTTTTGGAAGACAAGAAGAAATGAGGGCATATCAAGTGCAAATTTGTCACTAAGCAATTTGAAAATTGTAATCGATTCGTCTCTAGTTCTTTAATATGACAAAGGGAATAGGTTTAGCTTGGCTAGTCGAGTATCATACGGAAGCTTCGCTATTCTGGGAATCAGCTTGGTTGCCGTTCTCTGAACCTTTTCCAGAAGCTCGCTGTCTTTTTAAGCAGGGGCTGGCCGCTTGTATGCAGTATTCAAGTTTAGGACGTAAGAACACTGTATACAAAGTCAAAGACGTTTTAACGTCGACATGACTATAATCTCAACGTATTGACCATAAGGTTCTAAAACTTTTGGAGTCTATTGCACGGCAGTGAGCAGTAGTCTTTAAGTCTTGGCTAACGATGACTCATAAGTCATTATATGTCTGGACGACAGGTAGCTCAATGTTATTCATCGTGTATGTATCTGTGCCTTGATGACCGATATGCATCACAACACACTTGCAAGTATTTATCGGCAACTGCCAGGTTTGAGACCATTCAGATAATTTCTTCAGGTCATTTTGGAGTTCTTAGCTATCACGCTCACATCGTATCGTTCTCCATATCTTGACATTGTCAGCATATAGCAAGACCGATGATGATAGGAGACGAGGAAAGTCATTTACATACAAGAGGAATAGCACTTGCCCCAAAACTGTACCCTGGGGCACTACACTAAGCACATTTTTCCAGCTAGATAACTTTGAGTTCACCCGAACTCTTTGTTGACGCTCAACTAAGAAGTATTTTATCCACATCAATAAATTGCCTCCAATCCCGATATATCTTAACTTATATAACAGCCGGTTGTACGGAACTTTGTCAGAAGCTTTGCTAAAATCAATGAAGGCTACGTCTACAAGTGACTTTTGGTCCTGAAAAGTGCACCAGCTTTCACGAGCCACTAATAAGTTAGTGAGACAAGAATAACTTATTCTGAAACCGTGCTGCTTCTCCGAAATAATCCGGTTTTTATCGAGATACTTAAACAGCTCCTTCCGAATAATCTTTTCTGAGATTTTAACAACAACACTAGTTAGGCTAACGGTGCGGTAATTCTCAGGTTTGTGTTTCGTACCTGTTTTGAAGACAGGACTTACTATGGCGTTTTTCCAGCCTTTGGGTAAACGACCCTGCGTTACGGTAAGTTTAAAGCATATACTCAAAGTGTTCCTTTAGTAGCCTATGATGTAATTCATCTGACCTCGTGAATTTAGCTATGTCAAGCTTATTTTGTAGATCAAAGACATCGAGTTCTTTAATGGTCACGCTATCCAGTGTATGTGTGGGGGATCTGTATGCGCTGATGGGAAGGGTGCTTCTATGGTGTATACATTGCTAAAGTAGTTTGAGAACACTTGAGCCTTACCAAAGTCGTCCTCCACTAGTGACGCGGCAGTACTGTCTCCCCATAAAGCAGGAATATTTCCTTATCTCTTTGTACTTTGGTTTATATAAGAATACAAGCGTTTAGGACATTCTATGGATTCCTTAACAATATTTTCTTCGTACAACTTTCTAGACTTACGGAGGGTCGAGGCACAGGTATTTCGGACTTTTCTATACTGGGATTTAGTTTCATCAGTTCCCAGTAACCTAAATCCATCCCACATTTTTCATCTCTTACGGAGAAGGATGTGAACCTCCCCACTGAACCATGACGAGGAGTTTCTCGGCCGAAGCTTCTTTTGTTCACTACGAAACCATTTGAACTTCAATGCACTTAGGCTTATGGGCAATTAATCTAGTAACATTGAATTACTTCTGTTCGCAGCGCAAATTTGATTACCGTGCATTTGCCAAGGTCGTTTGGTTGTGGCGTTTCGAGTATATCCAATGGATATGCTTTAACGTCTTACGGGGGTTGTCTAGCTGCTCAGTAAATGAAGTAGGTTTGCACTATGCATAAAGCATTGAATAAAACCTAAATGTTGTTAATTTTGACGAAGGTTTCACTGAAGCAATATCGTCATTGTAATGAAAATGTCAGGTGTTTGACGTTTTTGCAAGTATATGCCCAATATGATAAAAGACATGCAAACCATTGTTAAGAACATTTTGTATCACTATCAGACGTGAAACGATACTTCTCAGCTTCGCTTCTGTCATATAGGATGTTAACTTGAATCTGCATATATGTTAAGTGAAGTTTAAGATCCATGATCAGAATAAATATAGGTCTGATAGGGTGAGAGAAATAATAATACAACTACAATTCGATCAAATGTTTAATGGAATTCTGTATTTTATGACTTATATAGAATGTTATATGCCTCAGTGGACGTCCCTCAATGTTCACGTTTTTGAAATTCGAATTTCACTGCATGCAGATCTTCATGAAATAAATCCTACATTTGTTTTTTTTCCAAAGAAAATTCTCAATTTGTAACTTCGTTTGATACATTTTATGAGGGTTGTTGTTCCAGTCAGTCTTAATAGGCTAAAATAGCTCTAATTATAGACGTTATCAGATAATACAATGCTCACTGATGCTGATGTACGTAGGAAAAAATGTGTCGTTACTGTGTTGACAAACAACTAGTATTCAGACTGATTTACAGTGTGTTAATGGGGTTATTGATGTTTACTAGTCATCGACTGGGGAATTATACTCTCGAAAGAAATTCACATTCGACAACTCTATCAGTATGCTTATCTGTCCGTCTTTTGTAGTCGGAGTGTACCTCTGTTACTTTGTAATCAATAAGTGTTAAGGTATTTCCGTTGGTCAGTTACACATATGGTCATCCTGAAGCATGGCTCAGTTGTTCCGTACAGTCCCCATTTAAGTATACCTCTTGTTTGGTTGGATGTATCGTAGTCTTGACAACAATGAATTTGAAGCAAATAACAAGTCATTCGCCACCCTGAACAAAGCTCACAATTTGGTTGCAACTTTATCTTTGCCACTACACTTTTGGTACAGTTAATTTTACTTTCGACTTCTTCCTCATGTCCAGCTGGTGCTAGGGGTGCTAGGGTTCACAAAATACGGCTCCAAATCTTCTAAAACCAAGCTTAAAAGCACGCTTTAGCTGTTAGGATTCGAACACTGCGTCAAATTCAATAGCAGGCATCACAAGCTAAGACCCTAAAATCCTTCTATTGATCTATCTCAACCAGTATAGGTAACCAGCGAAATTTGCACATCATTCCTCTGAAGGCGCAAAAGCAGTTAATCCTGGTCTTGCTGATGTACGTGAGGCACTAATTTAGGCAGCACAACAGGCTCTCGTGGATTGGATTTCTGCTGACAGTTACTTATGTACTGTTCGTCTCAGCACAATGGTACAGTGGGGATTCGGAAAAACAGACAGATCACTCTCTATTCGTCGTTTCTGCCTATACCTCCACTATCTGCACCTCGACTGGAATAAAAGACTTACTTTCCAATATGCTTCCTTATCTTCAGCAAACCAGGTGCTCAGACATAGTATTCGTAGGAGGCGTATTAATAGTCCAAGTCAAATCAAAGAACACTTAGGTGGGTCTTTTGGCATACCCTTCCACGCTGTGGGCAACCGGGAAGTGATAACGGCCCTCATACCTCTAACAGCACTCAAGACCACTGTATTCATAATCAACCTTCCTCTTCAATTTCTATTATTCCTCCTACGTCGACTTTCAACCCTAAACCTCCTCCTTCGGCTTCCTCCTCAAGGGTCACCATAGCCAACGATTCTAGTGCTCAAAACTCTGTCCTAGGTCTACTGAAACCTCGCTCCAAACTACACATTGGAGCTTTCAACGTACGCACTCTATGTCAAATCGGTCAGCAGGCTTCCTTGGCTAAAACCCTAGAGTCTCTTTCCATTGATGTATGCTGTGTCTCCGAAACACGCATACAGGATTCCAGTGTGGTCATTCACTTGACCTCACCTCGGCAAAACGGAGAGCCAACGAGGTACACCCTCCGTGTATCTGGTGACCCGATGGCCAGTTCTCGTGGACTGGCAGGTGTAGGCATAGCACTAAGCATGAGGGCGGAACAAGCACTGCTAGAGTGGATCCCCGTCAACAGTCGCCTATGTGCTGTTCGGCTAAACGGCTCCGTAAAACCCCGGAAGGATAGGGACACACGTCGTTGCCTTTTCGTCGTTTCTGCCTACGCTCCCACTGACTGCAGCTCAGATGAAGTGAAAGATGAATTTTACAGAAAGCTGTCCGAACTTCTTCAGAAAGCTAAACGCTCAGATATAGTACTCGTAGGGGGTGACTTTAATGCTCATATAGGTAGCTTAAACCAAACAGAAAGGCATTTAGGTGGATATTTTAGCATTCCGGCACAGCGAACAGATAATGGTGATCGTCTGCTGCAACTGTGCTCAGACAATCGCTTATTTTTAGCAAACACAAATTTTAAGCATAAGGAGAGACATCGTCTAACGTAGCGACCGCCTGCACCAAACCAACGATGGACTCAAATAGACCATATTGCCATCAGTCATCGTTGGAGAGGGTCGGTACAAGATTGTCGCTCATTCTGGAGTACCTGCTTGGACTCCTACCACGCCCTAATACGGACACGCATCTGCTTGCGCCTCACTGGACGCAAAAAGCCACAGTATAAAGACCCATTAGAACCGAACTGAGTAGCGAGGAAACCAAAAGTAGGTTCCAGGAACAACTGAGGTCACGGTTAGGCAGTTCTGAAGACGAGGCTGACCCAGATGTTGCTTGGAATGAAATACAAGCAGCTGTGGAAACAGCAGTGACATCTATTAGCGACTTAAACCACAGAGTTTCAAAGAACCAGTGGATTTCTTCAAAGTCTATCACACTGATGGATTCTCGCAAACTCGTCCCATGAGGTTCTGAACATGATGAAGAGCGACAACAAATCAGATCTAGGTTAAGAAAAAGTCTAAGAAACGACCGTGAGCAGTGGTGGGCAACGAAAGTAAAAGAGATGGAAAAGGCGGCAGCTATAGGGAACACAAGACAACTCTACCGACTAATAAAAGAAACTGGAATTAATAAGTCAAGTGTAAGTCGGACTATTTCGGAAAAAGACGACACCCTCATCTGCTCTCAGTCCAGACGTTTAGAACGATGGGCGGAACAGCTTAGCTGGCCTTCAGCTACTCTACAACTACCCTCCATTCCCAGACAGTGTGAATGGAATATTGAAGTAGATCCCCCAACTCTAGCAGAATTTTAAAAGGCTATAGTTAATCTGAAACGAGGAAGGGCAGCTGGTCCAGATGGATTGGCTCCAGAGGTCTTTAAGGATGGTGGTTCAATTTTAGCGATTAGGTTGACTAATATTTTAGCTAAGATCTGGGAGTTAGACGTTATCCCATCTAACTGGTCACAATCACTTATCGTCCCAATATATAAGAAAGGGTCAAAATCATCCTGTGACAACCATAGAGGGATTAGCTTAACTAATATAGTATCTAAAATACTAGCCTCGATAATTATCAGGCGCCTAACTAAGACTCGTGAACTGCAAACACGAGAGAACCAAGCTGGCTTTAGACCTGGTCGTGGCTGCATCGACCACATATTCACCATTCGTCAGATTCTAGAACACAGGCATACTTATCGACGTCCGACAATGGTGGTCTTTCTTGAATTAAAAGCAGCATTTGACTCGGTAGACCGCGAGATTCTGTGGCAGTGTCTATCATTGAAAGGCGTACATCAGAAGTACATAAACCTTGTAAAGGCTCTTTACTCGAACACTACTAGTCGAGTCAGAGCTTATGGCGAACTGTCATCTACTTTTGCAACCTCAAGTGGTGTCCGTCAAGGCTGTCCACTTTCTCCATTTTTGTTTAACTTCATCATAGATCTACTGATGGAAATAACTTTCTCGTCGACTGAGTTCTCGGGTATTGATCTCCTACCAGGAGGTCCACTTACCGACTTAGAATACGCAGATGACATAGTCCTGTTTGGTGAAGACGCTGACAAAATGCAGAGTCTTCTGGTAGCACTGAGCAACAATGCCAGGATGTTTGGAATGAGCTTCTCTCCCTCTAAATGCAAGTTGTTGCTTCAGGACTGGTCTGCGTCAACACCTGAACTAAGGATAGGGAGTGAAGTAGTCGAACGCGTTGACAACTTCACTTATCTTGGAAGTTTGATCAGCCCTAATGGGTTGGTATCGGACGAAATCTCAGCACGGATTCGAAAAGCTCGTTTGGCTTTTGCCAACTTACGTCACTTATGACGAAGGCGAGATATCCGTCTATCAATAAAAGGACGAGTATACTGCGCGGCAGTCCGTTCTGTCTTACTTTACGGCAGCGAAACATAGCCATTAAGAGTAGAAGACACTCGTAAGCTATTAGTATTTGACCACAGATGCCTTAGAAATATTGCTGGCATCTGCTGGGATAACCGGGTAAGTAATAGTGAGGTTAGACGCAGGGTATTAGGGAATTATGGTAAATCAGTTGATGAGGTTATGAATCTTCATCGACTGAGATGGTTGGGCCACGTGTTACGTATGCCTGAACACCGATTACCACGACGTGCAATGCTATCCGGTATTGGAAATGGTTGGAAGAAAGTTAGGGGCGGCCAAACAAAACGTGGCATCAGTGCTTGAAGTCACTAACTTCTAGTCTGAGCCATGTTGGTAGATGCAGACTACTTGGTTGGGGTCCGCGTGACTATCGTAACCAATGGTTGGAGACTCTTGGTGACATGGCTCAGAATCGATCACAATGGCGTCGGTGTATACACTCCCTGTCTTCCCTTAAACTAAGAGATTAAAATCACTTCATATCTTTCTTTCTACGAACCAATTCTTTCTTCTTGTACTATATCTCTATATGCAATCTTTCTCTTACATGCTATGAATCCGGTGTTCATCTTGTTGTGCTGATGCGGTATGGCAACCTGGACCGATGCACATATGTGCCTGGTCCTGCGTTGTAGCTGACTGATTGACTGACTTTTGGCATCCCAACCTTAGTTATGGGTAAAAGTGACCGTCCCTTCCATTTATACTCAGGTAATCATCTATTCTTAGCAAGAAAAAGCTTTAAGCATAAGCTGAAACATTTGTTTACTAAGCACGCTCAACATCTGCTCAACAGTGGACACGTGGTTCATAACGCGATCAACTCTCTGAAGGGGTCCTTTAGAAGAGACTAACTCTTAAGGAGCCATGACTCATCAGGTCCGGATGATATACCTCCAGTTGTTTCTAAGAATAGTGGCGAACTTCTGATCAGGGAACTAAAAGCGTTGTTTGCAAAGTTTGGGGGATAAAAAAGTGTCTTACAATCATAGAATAAAGTGGTAGTTGTTCTAATCCTTAAAGTGCTTACGTCACCTATGCAAAAACTATCAGTGGATAAATATACTTTCGATTACTTCCAAAATATTGACTTGTATCATACTTCTCAGATTATTCAAGTCCATAAATGATTAACTTGCGAGTAGCAGGCTGGTTTTCCATTTGGTTGAGGATATATTAATCATATATTTACCCTCCACTAATTGTTAGAGGCACCTTCTGTGATAGTTTAATCGCTAATAGCAACATATTATTGCTTAGAGAATTGTCATTAGAGCTGGTAGTTCCTAAAATGTCTATAATGTGAAGATGAGTTCCATCATAAACTGACTCAAGTTAAGGAACCACTAAAATTCTAATAGTTGAGAAACCTTTTTTATGTTCAATCATATGACTTCTAATATTGATTCTCAATAGGAAGTTTCTTTTTAGATTGGTCGTGTTAAAAAAATATGTATTAACCAAATCTTAACTCAATGTATTGGTAAAACCTTTATAGTAAAGATGCGGATGTAGTATCATGACTAAAGCAGTTAGGTCTAAAATCCACTCTATTTACTGTGATTTAGATATTTTGGTAGTATCATTAGCTTTTGAAAAATCAATATGACTGAAAGCCGATAACATGCACCTGAACTTGATGAGTTGTGTATTAATATATCATTAGACCTTGGTTATTAGTTACTTCGGATTTTATTGAGAAACTTATTTGAGCATTATAATTTGCTAGTTAAGCAAATGCACATATTTAGATTAGAAAATGATTACTATTACTTCTATCACGATATGTGTACCCTAAAAGTGTACAATAAGAATAAACTTCTCTATTTTTTGGTCAGTTTATATTTAAACCTTTTTCTTGGGCAAATTAACCACATTATCTTTGTGTTCATGCCATTAGTGTTCGTAGCTTAGTAGTTTCGGATTCACAATGTTGTACAACGTTTGTGTAAGGATTAGGGATTTCGCAACAACTGGATCTAATGGACAAATGCATACATTGTTGCCTTTTTACATCTAATGATTTACGTTTATTATATGTAATTCCAATGGGAAGTTTATTTGTTTCATTATTATCATTACCACTGTAATATAATTTTATTAAGCTCCTCCAGTGATGGATTTTGATGAATTTCGCTGATCGAGTATGAATACCCAAGCGGATCTTTGCGCCGACTGTAGTACATCGTCCCCAAAATGGGCGTCTGTCAATAGAGGTGTACTCTTATGTGATGAATGTAGTTCCATTCACCGACAGCTAGGAAGACATATAAGCCAGGTTTGTTCTTTCTACGGTTGGTCTTAATTAATAAAAATATAGGTTAAACATCTTGAGAAGTCACGCTGGAGGCCGTCACAACTTTCTATGGTACGCTATTTGGCGTCTGCTGGTGCAAATGGGTATTGGGAACATGTACTGTACGAACCTATGCTTGCTGGATTAAATTCAGATAATCGATCCAGCAAAGCCTTTCATCCTCATAAAAAACCTTTACCTACTGACCCAGTGCATCCAACCAAAGCTGATTTTATACGTGAGAAGTATTTGTTTTTGGGATTTTTTAAGAAACCACGAAACGTTAACCATGATGATTTAAACCAGCAACTCCATGCTAGTGTAAGGACAGGAGTTTTAGAGACTAGTCTGTATTTACTTGCTTTGGTAAGTAGTTGGTCTATTTTTCAAACGAAATTCTTGATTTAAGTTGTTTTATTCAAGTGTGTTTATCCGCTTATGTGATTCTTTTTTTTCAGTTGCGTTGCCAGGTTAGCTGTGGAACAGCGATCCACAGCGACTGTGACAATTGAGAATTGTTGCTCGTCTATGGTTAGTCTTAACATTAAATGTAGTTTGAAATAATAATGGATTATAGGTGGTAGATTTACTGCTAGGGGTAATGTGAAGTCGACTGCATCTGTATGTTAGGCGGTTGGATGTTATTGATATCAGTACTTGAAAACTTCAACATTGGTTGCAACTCAGTGATTAGTAAAGGTAAATGTATATTACGATGCAATAATTCATCAGTGCAAATTGTCGCAGTCTCAGAACGCACCTATAAACTTTATTTTCCATAGCCTTTATTAGCATGATATACTAGTCTGGCATTTGTCTGTGATGATTTGATTCCCCGATTATCAGCTGTTAAATCTCAGACTCAGTTTCACTCTGAACAGCTGGGTAGTGTTCTTACCTGTAAGATAACAAATATGACTCATAACGTAGTGGGAAATATTGTAATTGTAATCTGGGATGCAACATTTTTAATCACTAGTTCAATAACCATTTCCCTGTTGGATGGTGTATTAGCCGATGATGAAAATTCAGCAACAGGTATTATAAAAAGCCAGGAATTTTCGATGTCTCAGGTTCGCTGGTTAATTTCAATTGTTCTTCACTCAGAAACAATGTTGTTAATTCCTGCTCTCCTATGTTTCCTTTATATTTCCCTTATATTTCAAGAAACTGTAGTTTTCACCTTTCTATTGGAAATATTTAGGGTGCAAATCCAAATTTTCTTCATCCAATCAAAGGCACAGCTCCTATTCATGTTGCATGTCAATATGGTCAAATTGGTCAGGTAGAATTGCTGTTAGCTTATGGGGCAGATGTTTGTATTCGTGATTCATCTGGAAAAACTGTAATTGATGTAAGTTCTTAAAAAAACTGTTCTGAGATTATTTATGTGCTAATGAGATTCACTCATCTGGTTTTATTTTAACTTCTAGACTCTGATAAAAGGTATCTAATCATACAAAATGAATACATCATAGTAAGATCGATACCGAGCATCAGATGTCTAGTTTGAAAAGGCTCAACTAAGTCATGCACTTTCTTGATTTGAATTTTTTGCTATAAATTTATTGAACGTCAGCACCCGGGCAGTATCAGCCCACACAAAAATCAATGGACTTGTGTAGTGTATATGTATTCGGTGCCTCTTTGTACCAATATTTTTGTTCAAATAAATAAATAAAGTAAAATAAAAAAAACAAATAAATACCTTAAAATACATGATCGTCTGGTCAAATTGAAAGTCAAGACTGATGTATATATTATTGAACTAGTTTGTATGGCATAAGCAATCTCTAAATTTATTTATCATTTCTTGGTCTAGGCTATTCGAAACTCAATTTTCGATTATGTCCGAACTTTTGAATTAAGTTTCATAACTTTCTACCTCTATATCAACATAATAATAATAGTTAAAAATACATTTCAGTTTCATCCCACTATTTATTATCTGTGCCAACCAGTAATCCGAACAAAAGAGGTTGAGGAGGTTGGATTGAAGAAAACGGGAATGTAATAAAAAGGAATGAAGGAACGATGAAGCTTGCAAGAGACAATTGATAGGACATGTTGCAAATGAAGCGTTAAATGTGTGGTTTTGATATTTTACGTAGATACTCTGTAATGTATCAAATAATAAATTGGTCATCCCTACTTAACTTTTTCGTTCACTATAACACTATATATATCCGTTCTTTTTCACAAGTTTACCAGCACTCAAAAAGAATCCAATAGGACTAGGCGTAGATCTCAAACTCCAGTTAGTATCTCAGTCAGCTTTGTTTTTAAAACTGGACCATCATCCTTAAAGTCCTCCTGGGTCAATCTTTCGGGTCTTGTTTTGCATCTCTTCAGGTTGGATATGGCCTTTTTAGCCACACTAAGATCCGGGAGACTTGTGTCAATTTCCCATGCAGGCTGTTAAATGATAGCGGGGTAACTGGAAGGTAAATGGAGGCAATTTGAACTTTTACTTCAAGTGTTCTGTCAATAGATTAAATCATGTGGACTATGAGTGAATAATGGTCCCGTTGTCTACCGAAACATCTTGACTAACAGCCAGATTCTTAATGCCTGCCTCCTTAATAAGTCGAAATCGTTGTCTACTATTGCTTATCCCTTCACTTATATTAATACTCTTGACTTCTTATTAAAACTTCGTGACAGGATACCTTTGGAAGCTTGGCGAAAATAAAATGATAAGTTAACGTATTATTTAAGGATAGTCTTTCAATCAATGTCAGTTTGTGACAGAAATTACCTTTTTAAATTCTCTGAAGTTTCCATACATGGAAAACCTATCCAAAGAAATATTTGATCTTATAATCATCTAGATACCTTACACATTTGTATATTCATATTTAGATATAGAAATATATACACACTATACACTTCATCATCATCGTTAATGTGATGTAAATCTATCTATTAATGAAAGTGTGTGTGTATTATTTCATGGGAGTGTAGTCTAACTAACCTATCATGAGGAAATTCACCAATTTCCTTATTGATCAGATAACAACATGGAGGGAAACTGTTTTATTTCTTTCCTTTTTCAACCAAAGATAAACTATCCCACCATTTTGAATGACATTTAGTACATCATTTGTTTATTTGAAAACAAATATTGGTACAAAGAGGCACCAAATATGCGCTACGTGATAACAGTGAGAATGTGAAGAGATAGAAAATGTAAAGGGCGCATAAGAAAAAGGGGGACAATAACGAACAGAAATTAGTGTATGATTGTGAAATAATAATAATGAGAGGGGTAGTTCAGTTAGCAGAGGTACAACCAGAAAGAATTCTTTCAGTGAAATAATTCCCTCTAACTTTCAAAGAGAAAGTAAAAGAAAGTTACGGCAGGAACGCCACTTGCTTCTATTCTGAGCCATATCTGATAAAGTCTCAAGCCAATGTGTTGCACTATCTCTAGGACCCCAATCAGGCAGTCATGAAGGACCGACATATGCTAGTCCTATACAACTTCCTATCATACCACGACACGGTGGTCACACACTGACCACCTCTTCACTTTTCCAACCAGTTCCAGTATCAGCAAATAACGCGCGATGTGGGATCCTCTGGAACGACATTCCTGGTACATATCCAAGCCACCGAAGTCGGTGTTTTAATGTGGTGACATCAAAATGAACTGTCGTCACTGTTTCCGAACGCATGGTGCATGTCACCGAACTGAGCACTTTTGAAGTGCGAAGCATATACCATACCTACAAACACTGATTGCCAGCTCATTAAATGCGGATTGCATGGCTTAGGTATTATCGCACAGCAAAACAATATCATCTACACACTCAAGGTCGAGAAGTATTTCTCCAGGCAGCAGATCTACACCGCCACTACTTACATCTAATCAGGGCTGTTTCCATAACATCGATAGCAAAGTGTGACACCACTGCTTGAATGGAACAATTGAGAAAGGTGGTTGTATGCTCCCACTCTATCTGAGGTATTTGTAAATAGGACTTTCAAGATTTTAATGAGATCCTCAGACACACCCTTCTTCAATATACAATTCCAGAGAACAGTCCTATCCGACGAATCGGAGACAGCGCTGATGTCAAGAAACATTACGATTGTTGGTTTTTAGTAAATATGACGGTGTTCTAACATTTGGCGGAGGATGAAGATATGAATGAAGACCAGCCTGCTCATCGCGAATCAATCTCTCTGGGTTTTGAACAATCCACGAAGAATAACAGAAGCCAATAATTTGGACGCGATCGGAAGTAGATTTATTCTTCGATAGTTCTTGCATAGGTGACGTGAGTGCTTTTTAAAAATAGGGACGATAATCGACTCATTCCATGATTTCACAAGTTGAAATCATGAGCCAATTGAAGCTAGACCATCATGGAAAACCTGGAAGCACTGGACGGCCGTTTCGTCCTAGTATGGGACTCCTCAGCAGTGCGCATCCACGAACCCGCCACCCGCGGGATTCGAACCCAGGACCTACTGGCTTCACGCGCGAGCACTTAACCATTAGACCACTGAACCGGCATCCAACGGTGTTAATGTCTAACTTCAACCAATCCACGAAGTCGCGCCATTCCATGATGTTAGAACACTCTCCAACTGTCAAACCTTTGTAAACAACACAGTCACTTCCTTAAAGAAATAAGCTTTTTTCTTGAGAATACTATGGACAGTTCAGTCGCATGTCACCACTCGCTTCGGCGGTACATATACTAAAAATGGAACGTTACAGAAAAGATTAGCATGGCCCCTGCACAAAATCGTGGAGCGTTCCATATTTTCTAAACTCCATTCTCATCTCCCAAATCCACACTACCTGTCATCACAACCACTCGGTGTGGTGGTTGATGCCACAGAGTTTACTCACTCTCCATCCTCCCTGATTCACCAACAGTGGGCTACACGGTCGGTCCTCAGAGTGACCGCAGACTGACGAGTGGTGATCAGTGAGTGGGTGGTGACATGTGACTATTGACAGTTAAACGAGATCTACTAAAACAATTGTGAAAAAGTAGATTAGTATCGGTTTCAGATTATTTACATATATTAGCGTATATACCAAAAAGTCCTTGAAACAATATTTCATAAATGAAAGGATTGCAATTATATCCTACAAATAGTTGAGTGTTATTGACAGGAACTAGTTTAATTAGCGATCATAATCTTAGGTCTCTATTAGATCAGTTTACAGTGACTCTAATATAAAATTTGATTAATAATGTGATGTGGACTGGGTAATCCCACTGGACAGTTTACTCTTCTGTGGAACTAATCAGCATGAATTTTTTAATCACTTTTTCATCATAATTGTTAATTAAAATGTACATAAATACTTTTTAAAAATAATAATTGATCACAATTACGGGCTATCTATTTTCTGATATTCTTGCCACTTGGTGAGATAAAGTAATGCTGATAACAGTCGTCGTTTTTCTCAAAACGGCAACGAGATATCTGCCATACTCTCATTTTGATCTCGCTGTATGATCTTAAATGTTTTCTGCAAATTCAAAGGGCTCAGTGTGAAAGGGTTCATCGAAAGATTTGATATGATCGAAAGAAAAGTCGATTTTCGATTGGTTTACTCATTATGAGTCTTGTTTAGGATTACTTCCGTTTTGATTCAATGTAATGATTACTCAATGTAGTATTTGTTTTCTTTTCTCGTATGATATTTTATTCTGTATAATATACGATATTCTTGTATTCCATTGACATGAACTATGCTTAGTAAGTGATTTGTTATAACTCTAAGCATTTTTCATACATGTGATTACATTCTAATTATTAATCAAAATAGGTGTACAGTCAATATATAAATGAGTGTATTTTCTTTGTGTTCTTACTTTCGCGTCGTGGGAATCTCAGAAGTCCCTCGTTCCGTGTATAAGTGATAAGCGTTTCTGACATAACAATCAGCGACGACCAGATACAAAAAGTAGCATTAAAAGAGCTAAAACAATAAGCATTCAAACGACAAGTTATAACAGTAATACATGTTTTTTTCTTTCTACCTGCTTATTTATACTGTGAATTAAGTATTTATCATCAAAATAAATGATGAATCCTATTTAGGTTGAATACCGAGAACACTCTGAATAAAATTTCTAGAGCTTCATTCATCCTAAGTTATAGTTTATTCGCATTATTGTTTTCTGGAAGTTGTTCAGTTGATTAGACGATAGAATGCATGCCCTTCATGGTCTTTCCCAATATCGGTGTCTACATTTGATTTAAATGTTTGGTCACTTGAAATTTAAACTACGGACATCTCAAGGATGCACATTACTGATGAACTTGACAATACGATGTTATCAACAAACCCCATGAATTATTTTATTTTCGATTTGTCATTATTATTGTTTGACTAGTATATTCTCCACTAACGAGAGTAAATTTGTCTTTTGTAGTTTGATATTTAAAGGTTCATTGGTTAATCGGTTGAACTCATTATGTATATAAATAAAACTTGCCAAGTAGAAATAATTGTTGCTATGGTTTCTAACTCACTGCTTCAAATCACCCTATTTTATGAATAATTTTAACTCTATTTTCAATCTTTTCTCGTATTTATTCGATTTGAAATGGTTTATATTATCCCGTTGTTGATATTTTTGACTGAAATTTAATTAGTCTTGGTGGGTACGTGGGCATCCTGTGCGAATTATTTCGATATAGCTACTATAACACAAGTTGATATAGAATAGATGGAGTGTAGTTAGCAGTGGGATCCAGCATTGGGTATCTGAACTCAGTAGCTAAGTGGACAACGCGACACCGTTTTAAGTAAACGGTCTTGGGTTGGAGTTCCAGAATAAAAATCAACTATGGGATTCAGGTGCATCCATCTAACAATGTAATTTGTTCCTCTTTTTAAAGAATAAGGTTTCCTTACTTTTATATGCAACACAGGATACTAATAGATGATATGATGTTCGTACACGTGACGAAGAGCTTGTCAGTTGTATAATCAGACTTCCTTATAAATATACTCTTCATTTCTTTCTTTCTTGCTATCTCTCTCTCGTTCTCCTTCAGTTAGCATTAGACAAAGCATTAGCATTAAATGAATCGATTATTTCTAAAGAAAAGATGGCAACAATGTCAAATGAAGAGAGGTTACAATCTGCTTGGTCTTCTATGGTTGATGTATTAGTTTCAGCGTATTATGATTTGACAGATAGTTTAGCTTATTTTCTTACACGCCATGTACCTGATCATAAAGCAGCTGTTTTTGGTGGAATCAATAAAAATACAAATCATAGTAATGAACTATCAGTGAATAATAATAACGGTGAAATAATAACAAATGGTCATTTCTTAATTTCAACTTCATTAATACATGAATCGAATGGTATATCATTGGCACCGAAATCAACGAATTTAAAATTGACTAATTCCTCTGGACATACTATTACTTCTACTGCTACCTCAAATGTTGAACAAGCAGATGACCAAGAAGATTGGATCATTAAAGCTAGAGGAAGATTAAATAACCTATCTAATAATGCATTTATTGTAAGTTCTTCGTTTGTTTGTTCGTTCGTTCATTCGTTTTTCTTTCAAAATGTAAAACGTTTCGTGTGCTTCATAAAAATTTTCCCAATTTATAAACTAATAAAAAAAGAACAAATTTCGTAGTAGAATAACACAAATTCATTTATTTCATGGATTCTCCTCAGCTGCTTAAAACCTAAAACCATTAAAACGAAGTGTACATACTTTATATATGAAATGTCTAGAATGAATTGAGTTAGAATCTGGAGATAGAATAATATTAAGAGATAATAATATGGAATAATTAACATTATTCAAACGTTCGCTTTATTCATAAGTATTCTAGGAGAGCATATAAATGGAAATTATTTTTAAACTGAAGATAGATTATATAATATAAACTAGTTGAGCAACTAGTTTAATTCGAACTTAGTTGTTGGTGTTTTTATACAAAACCAAATGCTTATTGCGATGATTAAATGTGGACAAATACCCGCTTTATTTGATCTCTGATCATCTTTACCAGTTTACATGTACGTTCCAAAGCACGTAAAATGATTGTCGACCCATGTTAATGGATGAAATAATCTAGCTGTTGTTTCTGCTTTCCTTTTTCTACTTTGATAATTATGAGCCAAATATCGGTTGGTTGTAAACAGCATCGAACCTAGTACATATTTGTTTCGCTTCAAGTTGCTATACCACAATAGGCAGTACAGTAAGATAAAATTATCAAAGCAAATCCCAGGGTAGTAGAGGTAGTAAAAGTATCAGTGATACTAGAAAACATCGTGGATATACAGTATGACTCACGAAGAAAGAATGGATTTGTGGAATAGAAATAAAAGTGTTTTAAGGGAAATAATAAATATCTAGATCATTGAGAGCGGTTCTGAGTCATGTCACCTAACGCCTCCAGCCACTGGTCACAATAATCTCATGGATCACAATCAGGTCGTCTACACATACATATACAACTGAGTCCGATAGTCAATAACTCTATAGACTGATACCACTTCTTAGTTTAAGCATTTTAAAAAATAAGTTTTCCGAATTGTTAGTAATCAACGATGGAATCACATTAATAAAATTGTCTTAGATACCTTACTCTTACGTTGGACATCTGTGCGATCAAGGTTAGACCTTTCAATTATCACTAGTCATAATTATGAGGCTGTGTATTACAGTTGTGAGGAAATGTGTTCAAATCGTTACACTAAATGGAACCATTATCCAACGCCTCATAGGGTTAACTACATAAATATTCACACTCTTTCACTATTGCACTGAAGTGTTTTTTAGCTATGTATTTTCTACTCCAAAATATTAGTGTGAGCTGTGAATACACTCCTTAGTTTTATGTATTGAAGAAGTTAGGAAATTTCTCCCCAATTTACTTATATTCGTGTTTTGATAACCTTGGACTGGATTGGTCGATCGAAGCTGCTACCTTGACGCGGTGGTCGGGCTTGCCTATCGTGATGACCCAACCGAGCTATATTGGCTGGAACATATGTTCCTGCAGGTTCTACCATGCCAGGCAGGTCGATTGGTGAACGGTAAGACTAAAAGCAGCAACTCAAGGTCTGAGGGCGAAGTCGTACTGCTGACTGTAGAGAGGTGTGACAGCAGTAAGGTGTTTCCCTCGGACAACCAGCATGACAGCGATGCTGCCTTCCCACAAGGAGGGGTGGGGTTAGAAAAGGTCGACCCTAAAAATGTCACACCTCACCTTACCTCACGGATTTCCGTCTCCGGCGGTAAGGCCCTTTGAAGAACGGAGCTAACACATTAAAAACCTCCCACAAAAAGGCCGTGCGCGACCGGCCTCAAGCAGTTGTCCCTTGGGCTCTGCGGTCACGCTCCCAGGTCGTCAAGACCAACACTAATCCAATTTCCTTTTCAGGTTCCTCAAGAAATACCCTTCCACGGTGTGGGCAGCCGGGAAGTGACATCAGCCCTCATACCCGTAACAGCACAAGAGACCAAGGTGGTCACATTAAAATCCTTCCTACGCCTCCTAATACCTCTCTTATCTCCATGACTAACCCTCCTCACGTCTCTTTATCACCTCGCACCGCTAGGGCAAACGATTCGAGTACGTGGAACGCCATTCCCGGTCTCCTGAAACCACGCTCTAAACTACACGTAGGAGCTTTTAACGTACGAACACTTTGCCAAATAGGACAGCAGGATTCCTTAGCTAAAACTTTAGAATCTCGCGCCATCGATGTGTGCTGCGTCTCCGAAACGCGCATACAGGATCCAAGTAGCGTCATTCATTTGACCTCACCATGCCAAAATAAAGAACCGACTCGATTCACACTTCGTGTATCTGGAAGCCCTGATTGTGCTTCCCGTGGCCTCGCCGGCGTAGGTATAGCATTGAGTCGTAGGGCAGAACTAGCTCTCTTAGAGTGGATCCCAGTAGACAGTCGTTTGTGCGCTGTCCGACTGAACGGAACAGTAAGAATCCGGAAAGATAGGGACATTTGTCGTTTCTGCATATTCTCCCACTGACTGCAGCTCAGATGATGTAAAAGATGAGTTTTACAGAAAGCTTTCCGACCTTCTCCGAAAAGCTAGGCGCTCGGATGTAGTAATAGTGGCCGGTGACTTTAATGCTCAAGTAGGTAAACTAAGCGATAGGGAAAGACACCTAGGTGGATCCTATGGTGTCGTGGCTCAAAGAACAGATAATGGAGACCGTCTGTTGCAGCTATGCTCAGATAACCGCCTGTTCCTTGCAAATACTAACTTTAAGCATAAGGAAAAACATCTTTTAACATGGCGACCCCCTAATTCGTCCCAACGTTGGACCCAAATAGATCACATCGCTATCAGCCACCGATGGAGGGGCTGGATAGAAGACTGTCGTTCATTCTGGAGCACATGCCTAGATTCAGATCATGCTCTAGTACGAGCGCGTATTTGCTTACGTCTTACTGGACGTCGGAAAGACGCTGCAAGGAAACCTCTTAGGGGCCTACTTAATGATAGTCAAGCTAAGAGTATATTTCAGGAACAACTAGGAAAACAGTTAGGCAGCCATGTATGTGATGCCCACCCTGATGCAGCATGGAATGATATCCAAAAAGCTGTGGAAACAGCAGTGATATCTGCTAGTAAGGTAAACCAGAAGGTTAGTGAGCAACACTGGATCTCAGCATCATCTATCTCACTGATAGATGCTCGAAAACTCATTCCACCTGGCTCTGAACATAATGAAGAGCGGAGTCAGCTTAAGCGCAAGCTGACAAGAAGTCTACGCAATGATCGTGAACAGTGGTGGGTAGCGAAAGCAAGAGAGATGGAAAAGGCAGGGGCAACAGGTAATAGCAGACAATTGTTCAGACTCGTTAAGGAAACCGGAATTAGGAACCCGACCGTTAGCGAAACAATCTCAGAGAAAGATGGACATATTATTCATCCTCAATCCAGGAGATTGGATCGATGGGCAGAACACTTTAGGGATCAGTTCAACTGGCCTTCAGCCACACTTCGGTTTCCCACGATCTCTAGTCAACCTGAATGGCAAATTAATGTAGGTCCTCCGTCCCTTTACGAAGTTGAAAAAGCCATAGGAAATCTGAAATGAGGGAGAGGAGCAGGCCCTGACAGGTTTACTCCTGAGATTTTTAAGGATGGTGGTCCAGTATTAGCAATGAGATTAACTGAGGTCTTAGGCAGAATTTGGGAACTGGACGTAATCCCTTCTGACTGGTCTCAATCACTGATTGTGCCAGTCTATAAGAAAGGACAAAAGTCCTCTTGTGATAATCACGGAGGAATCAGTTTGACTAATATAGTATCTAAAATATTAGCCTCAATAATACTTCGACGCCTAATCAAAGCTCGTGAAGAGCAGATTAGAGAAAACCAGGCTGGTTTTCGACCTGGACGTGATTGTATAGATCAGATATTCACACTACGTCAGGTTCTAGAACACAGACACTCGTTCAGACGTCCCACAACGGTAGTATTTCTCGACCTTAAGGCGGCATTCGACTCTGTTGATCGTGAGGTTCTATGGCAGTGTTTGTCACTGAAAGGAGTACCAAATAAGTACATTAACCTTATAAAGGCTCTCTACTCGAACACAACTGGTAGAGTGAGAGCTTATGGCGAACTGTCATCAGAATTGATTACCTCAAGTGGTGTTCGTCAGGGCTGTCCACTCTCCCCATTCTTGTTCAACTTTGTCATTGACGTACTTTTAGAGATAACACTCTCCTCATCTAAATTTACAGGGGTTGAACTTCTACCGGGAGGTTCACTTGTTGACTTGGAATATGCAGATGACATAGTTTTATTTGGTGAAGACGCTGACAAAATGCAGAGTCTTCTGACCACTCTAAGCAACAATGCAAGCATGTTCGGGATGCGATTCTCTCCCTTGAAATGCAAAATGTTGCTTCAGGATTGGGTTAAATCGACACCCGAACTAGTGATAGGGAGTGAAGTAGTTGAGTGTGTCGACCGCTTCACTTATCTTGGAAGTCTCATCAGCCCTTGTGGTCTGGTGTGTGACGAAATCTCAGCACGGATACAGAAGGCTCGACTAGCTTTTGCCAACTTGCGTCATTTATGGCGTAGGCAAGATATCCGTCTATCAACCAAAGGACGTGTTTACTGCGCAGCAGTCCGTTCCGTCCTACTTTATGGCAGTGAAACATGGCCGGTAAGAGTAGAGGATATTCGTAGGTACTAGTATTCGATCATAGGTGTCTTCGAAACATTGCTCGTATATCATGGAACCATCGAGTAAGTAACACAGTTGTTAGGACATGGGTACTAGGTAAAGATGGCAAGTCAATTGATGAAGTAGTGAAACTTCATCAGTTGAGATGGCTGGGACACGTGTTACGTATGCTCAACTACCGACTGCCTCGACGAGCGATGTTCGATGGTATAGGAGTAGGTTGGAAGAAAGCTAGGGGTGGTCAGACCAAAACATGGCACAAGTCCATGAAGTCACTGACAAGTGGTCTGAGTCATGTCGGTAGGTGTAGACTACCTGG